GAATTTGAGGAAAGCGTGAAAGGGTTTGATTGTAGCAGAGAAAAGGGGACACATGGGGAGAAAATGAAGCAAAAGTGACACAAAATGGCTACTCGTGCAGTTTGAGACAGGATGGACACGGTGAAGGAAGTCAGAGAGACATATGGGAAAAAGATTGGGAGACAGAGTGTGACCGAAAAAATGATAAATAGGAGAGTGTAGTGAGAGACAGACAGAGAGGAAGAGGAGGTCCATAATGACCCGACGAGAGCATCTGCCGATCTTAAAGGCATACACAGGTTTTTGGGAGATTGGTCAGCCATTAGATCGCACACACAAAAATCCTCACATGACACATATATAATGTTAAATATTATAAAAAGATAACGTTTAATAGTTTTAGGTTTGTAATAGGAAAATATTTTTACGGCGGATTTTACTGCATTGAAACAAGGCAACACTCATGTCATTTTGACAGATTTGTAACTTTCTATATATTTGGTATAGATATTTTCTTGAGTTACTTGAACACAGAACAACTGCAAGAGGAAATGTTAACAGGTGTTTTACACCTCACATCATGTACAAGCATAACTGCTTTTAGCAACCTATTTAAGGTTTCCTTTAAGGTATATCTTCCGTGTTCAGTGTTAGTTTAAAGTGTCTTGCGTAAAACTTAACGACAGTATTTACATTATGGCCATCATTCATAATTATATATATTTAAAAAGATTTGCCTTCAGGAAAGAAGCCATTCAGCGGCATGAATCAGAGCTGTAACCAATTTAAAATATTTAATTGCTGCAATTAAAAAAACGAAACTCTTTGACACAGTTGCTGAATTCATCCAAAATGGACTCAGTGAACTTCAGTCACTTTATTATTCCAGATGGAAAAATTGCATCCAGGTGAACAACATTCAAAATGGTTTTATGAGCGAGTCCAAACATATAAGAGATCTGAAGATGTGATACAGTGGGTGAAGACACAGGCTCATCATTGCTATAGAGCTGAAGCATCACAATAGGCCTGTGTTTATATACATGTATAAACAGAGTTAAATTGGACACATGTGTATACGACCACCATTTTGATTGTTTTCCAGGAAATACAAACTCTAAAACATTTTAAGAACAATTACTATTTGTCATTACTACGATTGGTTACAACCATCGCAATACACATCTATCAGATCCAAAAAGGTGCTCTCTGAAAGGAAATAAAAGTTTTTCAACAAGTTGGAGGTCGAAGGTCTTATAATCTGTTGGCGCCTTGCTAGATGGCAGCATTTCGTCTTTTTTACCACTTTATTCTATCATTTGTGCATTTCCTTTCGCAATTGTTCATTCTCTTTTCCACTTTTTAAAGTATTTTAAGTATTTGTATTTTCTGAACACACATCTGCTTCTGTAACGAAATCATTTCCCAAATTGGGATCAATAAAGTATCTATCTCTCATCACGGCCTGCCAGTCAAACTCTTTCTGTCAGCAGCTGCCTGATAAATCGAACAAGCCAATAATGTTGATGCTTGTCACTCACAGTATCAGTTATATCAAAGACGTAGCCGTCTGACTCATTCAAACAGGGCTCAGCAATCCTGTTACGTATTAGTTACAGCAATTTGTCTCTCCCTCGCTGACACAGAGAGAGAGACAGACAGAAAGAGAAAATGAGAGGCGACGCTGAGTGATGGCTGTTAGATAGCTACGCATGACGAGCCTAATTCGAACAAACTTCTGACACATAGAGATAATGATTCACACACGTGCTGCACTTGCGAGCCCACACTCGGGCAAACAATACATACACACACACACACACACACACACACACACACACACACACACACACACACACACACACACACACACACACACACACACACACACACACACACACACACACACACACACACACACAGACCATACAAAGCGTCCTTTGTTGACTACTCGCGGACCCTCAGTCTTTGCTTACTGAATGTAAAAAACATACAGCATCTTATGTATGTGTGTCAGCGTTAACCCTTTCCCCCACTTAGTGAGAGTTTGTGTGATGTGTGATGTGTCAGTGTTGACTACATCGACATCCCATAAAGGTCACATCCTGCTCAGCTCATGCTGTGTTTTAAGGTGTGCACTTGTTTGTCAGCATATGGTCCACATTTGTGTGTGTGTGTGTGTGTGTTTCATGGCGGGCGTGTGTCATTGTGTGCAGGTGTGTGTACCTCGGAGGTAATGGAGGGGATATTCTCATTGATCCTTTAATATCTGGCCTGGGGCAAGAAGGGGAGCCAGGGAGCTGCAGAGTATGTGGGAAAAAAGTGTATTCGGGAGCAATAAAACCAAAATAAAAAAAGAATGAAAAATGATAACAGGTAAAGAAGCACAACAAAGAGTATGACACAAGAGTACAAATTATAAGAGTGAAAGGTGGGGACAAAGATTGAAAACACAGACACAACAAGAGAGCTGGCGGGTGGGGGGGATTATGATGGGCTGTGTTTGTACCTGTGCTTGTTTCATGTAAATCCCTCACTGTCACAGGTCAGAGGGATGGTTTTTTGGGGAAGAGGATATTCGTGAGATAGCGTGATGAGAAAAGAAGGCTAAGTAGGAGGAGGGTTGATGCAGTGGGAGGTGGGAAGACAGAGATAAAAGGAAAAATGAGAGATCGTAAATTTTCACCAGGGCAGACAAATAAAAACTCTCTCATACCCCGCCTCTCTCGCTCTATTTTTTTGTCACGAATGTGAGCTGGCCTTTGTTTTCCGCCCCAACCCCAAACTCCTCTCCCCTTGTGCCAATCACCCGAAACCATCCCCATAAAACTGAAACCTTTGCAAACAAAAATCCCATAAGTATTTCTTTTTTTTCCCTCCTCCCAATGGGCTCCCCAATGACCAATAACACTGCGCTCTGTACAAAAGCTATATTTATTCTCTCTTGAGTTACAATACAGTATATTCACAGTGGAGAAAAAATAAATAAACATCTTTTTCAATAAATATTATAAAGATATGAACCATAACCTTTAGCCACATCAGCTAAGGCACATTGTAAAGACAGAACAATATATTTGTTCTGAAAAACAAATTAAGCAAGCTGTAATTAGCCGACGGAAAAAGTATCCGGTTTCATGTTTTAAAAAGGAACAAAAAATACACATCTATCTAATGCATGGTATTTAGAGTGTGGATTTACTTGTGGAGGACAAGTTTGACACTTTTGCTTTATTTCTGAGAATCAGAAAATACGATCAATACCACTTTAATAATCATTATAATTTATATATATTCCGTACACAAACATAAATGCAACAAATATATTTCGTTTAGGAAATCTCATGCCACCTGCCCACCGCAAGTGTAAATGACCACATATTCAAAGTTTCATGGTTGTATGTGGCCGACGTTCATTTTACATGACTTTTGTGTGCTTTACATTATTTTGATATTATGTGGTAAATAATTATCTTTAGAGGTAGGTGGATTCTGCCTCCTTTGGAATGAGCTGAGCTAGCAGTTTCCCTCTGTTTCCAGTCTTTGTGCTAAGCTAAGCTAACGTTCTCCTGGCTCTTCTGTTCTCAGCAATAAAGCAAATAAGTGTATTTCCCAATGTATGTCAAACTATTTCCTTATACACTGAACACAGCAAGTGTTTTTTTCTTAGTGAAATGTATTCTATTCTATAAGACTTTAAGACTGTATTAAATATGTGTTGCTATGGACTGAATTCAATAAAGAAAAGTGTACAAATAAGTGAGCACTTAATCAGAAGCAGCATCAAAGTGAATGGTTTGTTAATGCACAAAATACAAAAGTAAGTGCGTGTGTGTGTGTGTGTGTGTGTGTGTGTGTGTGTGTGTGTGTGTGTGTGTGTGTGTGTGTGTGTGTGTATGTGTGTGTGTGTGTGCGTGTGTGTGTGTGTGTGTGTGTGTGTGTGTGTGGGTGTGTGGGTGTGTGTGTGTGTGTGTGTGTGTGTGTGTGTGTGTGTGTGTGTGTGTGTGTGTGTGTGTGTGTCGCTGTTGTACAGTTACTGTAACTGACCGGCTGACATCAGATTACTCAGCAATACTCCTCAGTCAGCTTTTTCCAGCGCTCATCCCCTGCCTGACTCACGTCTCATCCCGTCTTCCTCTCTTTTTCTTGCCCCTTTGTCTCCTCCTCTTCATCGCTCTGGTCATTTCCTCCTCTCCCTTTGTCTTTTACCCATTCAGAAAAGTTCTTCCTTTCGAGAAAATGAATGTTTGCTGATTCATACATCTGGCGGTCACCGAATCCGGTTTCCCTCAATGCACTGTTTGTCTCTCTGCCCGTCACCCGGTGTATCTGTGTGAGTGTGTGTGTGTGTGTGTGTATCCACCTACAGTGGTATTTCTGTTGATCTGTTTCTGTCCGGTAACCCAGCTCAGTCTCAGTGTGTCTCGCTCAATGAGCTGTTGTACATCAGGCGGGTGACAGTGCTGGTAATGTGTTGGCTTTGTGTGTGTTATATTCCATTAGCGCCTCTGGAGACCTGCCAAATAGTGCTTCATTGACTTATTCCAGTACAGTATGAATGAATGTGTGAACCATGAATGTGTTTATGTGCTTTTGCCTGTTAAAGGAACGCTCCAGCCTCAAAATGATTATTTGAATGTCAGTTACTTATCCCGTGTGCATGCCTCTACACTGAACATAGAATCCAAAAATGGTTTCAAAGTCTCAGAGAACTTGTGCAGAATACAGAATTTCCAGTTTTAGTTAAATTGCAGGCATTTGGCAAGTAGCAAGCGACTGGATACAAGAAAATGTGATTCAACTGTATGAGTTTTGTGAGAGTTTGTAATGGAATGGTTTGATATAGTTTTGCTGTTGTTAAACACAGTCCCGGTTTAATTCAATTCATCAAGAGTTTTCTCATTTTTTTTCAGCATAAAGGCATGCAAGAAGAACTAGGTTTTCTTAAGGTACCACGGGGTAAGTTATGAATTACAAATGGTCATTGGAGTAGTCCTTTAAAGCTCTCGATGTGGATCCACTCAGATGTTGGGCAAACAACAGATGTCTTAATGTACTGCACTTCTGTGTCTCATTGTCTCAGCCTCTGAGTCTCTTCTTGAGGCGGTTAAAGTCCTTCGCCGACCGCCACAACCAACTCTGCAGCTCTCTCAATATCCAAAACCCCTCCACCTTCCTGGCAAAGTCGTTCATCGTGGGCCGCACCGACAAGAGGGAAGCGGAGGCGGAGGAGGTGGAGGAAAGGAGCGGGGTCAGAGGAGGCGAGAGGAGGGAGGTGCCCCTTTGTAACGAGAGAGGGACAGGCTGGGAGAGGAGGGTGTGCTCCTCACCCGCTCCGAACTGGTAGAGCAAGGAGAGGGTGGACAGGGGAGGTTGGAGGGAGGGGGAGAGGAGAGAGCGAGGAGGCCGACGCTGATGATGGATAGTGGAGGAGTACGAGATAGCCTCCATGTGTGTTTGCTTCTCCTCCTCCGCCGTTGCTCCTCTGCTTCTCTCTACAATAAAGCCATCCTCCTTCCTGAGTGTGTCCATGTGAGGAGAGTTCATGTTGTAGCTGTATTGATGGTCGGTGTTTTCTGTGCCAGGCGACTCTTCCCCCCTGGGTTCAGACTTCCAGTCCTCTCCATCCTCATTGACACTCAGCAACCTTCTCGTCCCCCATCTCTCCTCACCTCCGTCCCGCTCCACCTCGTCGCTTTCCCCTGCTCTCACTTCCTCACTGTCCATCCTTTTCCCGTTCTCCGGCTCTTCCCTCCTCCCTCTCCTTCCTCTTTCTCCTCTTCCCCTCTCCCTTGATCCACCGCTTCTTCCTCCAGCGGCGGTCGTCTCTGCTCTCCTCCCCTCTTTGCTTCTCCTTTTCTCCACCAGGTCTACGGTGACGCCATCCTCCCTCTCTGCTGTCACCGCTCTTGTCCCGCTTCTTCTCTGGTTGTTCCCACGACTAGACTCTGTCCTGGTCCCGACTCTGGACCTGTAGAGGCTCTGGCTCATCAGTGGAGCAGGTCGGGAGCCCCCCCTCTGAGGGAGCCCCAGCTCTCCAGCGTTACTATCCATGTTTGCAGACGAAGGAGGTAGTGCGTAACCGAGGGTGGTCATCAGTGCAGATATGGAGCCCAGCAGACCATCCAGGCCGGTGCAAAAGTGCAGCAGGGAGGTCTTGAGGGAGGGGCAGAGGGTGGAGCGGGCCAGCTCCCTGACGGCTGCCAGTAGCACAGAGTAAGCCCTCTGGTTCTGGGCCAGCCGGGCCTGGTTCTCGAGGCCGTGCCACAGCTCCAGGCGGGTGGCTGCGCTGGGCAGGGTCAGAGCGGTGCTGTTGGGACGGGGGGGGGAGAAGTCCTTCTCGTTGAATGGAGGGCCTAGGTAGGTCAGCTGGAGGAGATACACCAAAAATCAGAAGAAGGAAGAGAAGTTTTAACAGATGAATATGACACTTTGTACAGCTTCAGTGCTACAGTGACGTTTAACAAACCAAGTAACATAACATGGATAAGGCTGTGAACAAGCCAAAGGTTAGGCTACTTCATTTTATTTGGAGGTTAAATGAGTGCTGATGTTGTTTCATTGATACTCCTTCAACAGACAGGGAAAATGTATGTGCACAAAGTCGAGTAAAAAGTGTGAAATTTGAACCAGGAGGTAAACTTTTGAATTATTATCGTAACAAAAATCACTGTTTGGCTTTGATTCTTCTTACAAATTGGTTTGGGTTAAAAATGCACTCTTTTCTTGCTTTCTACCAACCTCTGAGGGGATTATCTAGCTCTTTGGATGCTAAATGCTGCTCTGTGTTCCCCAGTTAGTGTCTGCCCTGCAGCGCTTCCTTCTTCTATTGTAATCTGTCTCTCAGCTTAGCTGTATAGTCAGTTCTTATAGCTTCTTCTCATAAAACAACTTCCTGCTGCAGTCAAAAACGATACTATGAGAGCGCTGAGAGTCAAGTTGACAGAACTCACAAGCTCCATAAATTCGACAGAAGATGCCGATTTAGGGGATAACTCTCTGTAGGTTGACCACGAAGGACCTTTTCAAATTGTCAAATAGTTTTTACGTTGCCACAGTGATAGTTATTCTTATAAATATTGCTGTTTATAGTTTGTATGATAACCTTTGTTGCAGTGAGATATCATACCGAAACAGAATCACATAAAAAGACTCACATATATGTCTTTGATTTCTTTGAGCTGGTACTCCAGGTACTTGGTCAGCTCGTAGGTGCTTTCAATCGAACTCCTCTCATTGGCCAGGTTGTGTGAAGAATCAAGGGCCGTCGCCATGGCAGCAGCCAATAGCAGGACAAGCTGGTGTTGATGGACTGTGGAGAGACATTATAAAGTTAGTTCACACCGACAGTTTGAGGTCTTTCTTTAGGGACACACATCATGGGTGTCCAAGTGATAATTAACACACCGCGCCGAGGTATTTGTAATCATAACAATGAGGTGAAATCAATCTCCGACATTATTTTCTCAGACATTTTGTGATTATTTAACTTGGATGCTTGGTTTTTAATGAATCCGATGATGTGAGAGCTCAACAGACTGAAATCACCTCCAGCTACAGTTTCCAGTTGCTGCACCTTTACACTGTTTATAGTATTTCTTTTTACAATATTCTGGTTTATTTCTTTGTCTCTATGGCGATGGCCTCGTCTGTTTACATATTGCCAGGTCAGAGTCATCTGACACTGCCAATAAAGCTTTTTCCGTTTCCAATCTAATTTTAGAGGTTTCTGGCTGTCGGAGGTTTATTCTGGCTTCAAATAAAACCTCTCTTAATAGCTTCAGACAGGCAGACAAATGGCTCCTATGTTCAATGCACCAGCCGCTTTAACACACACACATCCACGCACACACACACGTTCATTCCCAACCGACATCCCACAAACAAAGACATGTGGCTTTCTTTACAATCACAAACATTAATGTGTTTGTATCAGTTGTATGTTTGCTGTGGACTTCTTGTTTAGGTTTCAGCGTGTTTGTGTAGGTGTTTTATGTTACTGTGTGAGTGTTTGTGAGAATGTTTGTAGTCTTAATTATATATGTGGATAAAATTCACATCGCTGTGAGTGTATACAATCATTTTGTAGTGTGTGTGTGTGTGTGTGTGTGAGAGAGAGGGGGGGGGGGTGTAACACTGAGAACCTTTTAGTGCCCCTGTCTCTGGTTTCAAACAGAGAAAATTGGAGCTGAAAGGTGGTTTTCAACATTAAGGAACTTCATGTACGTCCACTTCTCTTCGTGCCATGCTTGCTGTCTCTGCACGCTTATGCTTTCAAAGCCTCTCCAGACAAATCTACAGCACTTCGCCCGAGTGCGGCACACATTTCTTTCGTGGTCTCTGCTCTCCGTCATCCTTTTCCATCCTCTCTCATCCTCTTGACACACAGACGGTAGGCAGTGATTCATGCTCGCAATTATGGGCAAAGCATGCTGCTGTTTAGCAGGAGTGAATTATGTATTGCACAATGTGTCAACTTTCTATCTGTCTTTCTCTGACTCACCTCGGCATCGCATTGCTCCAACAATGTTATCCCTTTTTCCTCTTAAAACTAATCACACTGCACTTAAACTTGCCTTGCTTTCCCAGCATACCTTTCTCTTTCCCACTTTTCCTCCTTCTCTCAACACTCTTATCTCTTTTCTGCCTCGGGTCAAAATAACAGCAGCCAATTAACCCCGATTAGCTCTCCTTCTCCCCTTCTGTTGCTTTTTCTTTTTTCTTTCATCTATCCATCATGATACGCCCCACAGGATGGTTTAAACACTCACAAAACATTACCCTCACATGTTTTCGGTGGTTTTAAGAAAACAAGTTCTGACCTAAAACTGTCAACACCTTTTTTCCTCTGACTCAACCGCTTACGTATTGGTATGCACTCCCCAACAAGGGTTGGGTAGAAACCTCCACTCTATACTCAACACACAAAAATGTGAAGTTTGCTGTGAAACCATAGTCTGCTTAAAAAAAGAATATACTATAATTGCAGTGACAATTGTAAAGTTTGTAACAGGAGAAAATGTATGGTTGACAAACTAAGACATTTGTTGAAATATGTATTTGTATTTTTCTGTGCCTAACCCAAACATGTGAAACAGAAATCAAATCATCGGAAAACACTGACTAGTAAAGTTCATTCTTTACAAATTGCAGTTGTAAAACAAAATGTCTTTTTTAACTAGCCTCACAAGCTCCGGCTTGCCGAAAAAGTTGTTCAAATTAATTAGCTTGAGTTTTAGAGACAGACTGAGTGACAGATTGGGAAACTGTTTGAAATGTAAACTGGATTAAAACTGCTTGTGATGGAAAACAACCTAACAAACAACTGCTTCTTTTAAAGGGAAACCCCCCCCTTCTTGATTGCTGGTAACTCTTCCACGGTTGACCCTGAGTTGTCGGCTACATCAAAGCTTCTTCCCATTTTCTAAAGCACTGTAGTTGGGTCCAGGCAACTCCCACTTGCTCCCACACACACCTTGAAATCAGTCAACTAGAATAACCCCCGTCAGCCAAGCCTTTCGATCTCATCAACCGCTAAAGCCTCATCACCTGTCAGAAGCAATAAGCATCTCTCAGCGACGCGTGAACATTTGGAGCTCATCAAGCCACGGGCACCTCCCACCGTACATCCTCCATTAGCATCAAAACACTACGAAATCAACACGACATCGCTGAGTAAACAACCCTGAAGGAAAAGGACACACAGCTTGTAAAAAGGGTTGCATTCAGAAGGAATAAACAGGTATTAAGAAAAAATGAGCTTGAGACGGAGGAAGAAAAGTCTCCATGGCAAAAATCTGACGGTTCCAAACCGTTTTTCTTTTGTCTGCAGCCATATGCTCGAAGATGATTGCCAGACGTAAGAGCCTCTTGTTGTTTTGATTGAGCGCTGACACATCTAAAAGCATCCTCCCGCACAGCCGCTCTCTTCTACACGTAAACTGAGATAACTCAAACCCAGAGTCATGTTGTTGTTATATAATATTACATTGAGCAACTATACACCAAAGTCGGCGTATAGCTCAACTTCAAGGGAAGCCCTGCAGGCTCGGGGCTGCGTACCTGGCAGTGGAAGCACACACCGCAGGGCAGGGTTGCAACCAGAACATTCTCTGTGGGAGGATTGCATTACAGCAACACAGGGGTTCCCTGGAACGGCCGACCATGACCTGCCCCTGTGCACGCATGTGTGTGTGAATTTCTACATATTAAAGCACGTATTAAGGTTACACATATGCACACACAGGGGAGCTCCATTATTCACAACAGATCATATTTTTATCTACGGTTTGTTCGCTGGTGTAAAGTCAGATGTGGCACTCAGGAGTCTGGCTGCCATGTGGAGCACAGAGCTCAACGCGAGGTTCATCGGGCGCCAGACCTCTGAGCTCCTAATATAGGTCGGAAATAAAAATAAGCACAGGGTCAGGGTGCAGAGTTGAATTTGAGGCCGCAAGGTTGTGTTCAGGGGCACAAAGAGCGTCTTAACACACTTGGCATTTGCACTCCAGACAGTGTTTTGGTAAACCAGTGACCCAGTGTTTGTGGGTGTAGCGCTGTATCCATCCAAGGACTAATATTTCATCTTTCCCAACATGCACCACCACTTGAGGTTTTGAACAAGCACTTAAACTGAATATGGTATTGTGGGAAAACCATGTGTGAGTTAATCTCTCCGGTCTGGTCCAGGAAAAACTCGCTCCAGTGCCAGAAGAGATTGCCCTTCATTGCTCCAACCACTTGAAAGAGGTCTTAAACAGAAAAGATGTTTGAAACTGCTCCAAATGAGATGTTTATTTATTACGAGTTTTGTTCCAGTGCAACATTGATTAGAATGACTACATATTTTCATGCCATACTTTGGGTAAGCATATATAAGACTTTGACAATATTTAAAATGAATCAAGCATAATTGAAACATAATCCAGGGTGGGTTTCTCAGAAAAGGAATAACATGCTGCAGGCTACATCCTCCCACTTTTATTTTTTTTATTTGACAACATTAGGCAGAGAGGAGACTAGTGTATCTAGCCAGGATTCATGCTACGTGCATGTAATTTGTCATGCTGTGAGTGGTTTAAAAATACATTTAAATTCAATTTTAGAGTCTGTAAACACATTTCTAGATGTTACATTTCAATGGGCTCAGCAAGTCATGGTCTGGGGGGGGGTCTGACTTTCAGGGGTCATGGCTGGGTCGCCAGTCATGGTATGATGTTGAAAGACCCGAAACACCCGATGACCCCTGGTTACATCACTGATGATGTGTTTAGGAGCATCAAAAGATGTATTTGATCAAAAAGCAACCAACAGACTTGAAGAAATTTGATTACCATTCTGGATTTTAACAGTCTCAATTCAGTTCATAATATGAGTCCATTTTGAGGTTATTGTGATGAAAAACCTCAAGTAGCTAATTTAGGCTGATGATTCTACCAACACTGTGAATCCACCAAAAGGTCAAGGTTCACTTACGAATTTGAAATGCCAGTCTTCTTCAGCGACTGAACCCACCAAGTGTGGCACCGACACCTGACGACACCTCTAAATGTTTGGTTTAATGAAGAAGACTGTGGGAAGCAGTTTCAGATATGTGTATCAAAAATGTGTGTTACTTATTGTAACTTGGCCGTTTCATTGAGTTGGCTACTTTTACTTTTCTATTAACATTTATGTAACTACATTAAGTCACATTTGTATTAAAAATGTGCACCCATCTTCTGACTAATCTTCCATGATTTGTTGGTGATGCAGCCAACCTGTCAGAGATGGAGCTGGAGGCTTATTGTGGCTTTGTTGACAAAAAAGACTCACACTTGTGCGGCATGCCAGGGGCAACAACTATGCACACGTCATCAGGCCGATGGACGATGGACGATGGACGGAGACACGCGTTGGGTGAGGGGGGGTCTGACTTTCAGGGGTCAGGGTCGGTGTTGTGTGTCTGTGTACAGTTAAAGACCAGATTTATGTGCAGTCTGTACTGGATCAAAAGTGCATTCCTTTACTAACTCAACACACACATACACATGCATCCAGATTGTGCACTGGAGATCTGTGTACACACAGACATTATTCTGAATAAATACATATAAACACGCACACATACAAAAATAAAAAATAAACTTTTCCCATCTCTTGTCCCATGAGAATCCTTGCTCTGGAGCTTTTTCATGCTGAATACCAAATTGATCCCCTTTGGCACGGACACAGATTGGGGTTTGCCAAAAAACATCAATGACCCAAAAACAAAGGCAAAAGAAAACAACTTGAAAAACCCAATAAAATTGTTGTTTATACCCAGAAACTCTTTAAAACTATTCCTCGCTAGTCGTAAACTCCCTCTCTTTTCACCTTATAAGTCAATCCATGGCCTTAAAAAAAAAAGATTTAATATGGGGATTACAGTTGCTTTGAGTTTATTTTTTTGCCATGTTTGGTTTCAATTTCGTTGTCGCTTCATCTGAGCCCCGCTCTCTAAATCTTTGCGAAACATCAAACCTTCATTTCAAACTCTCCTTCCTTTCTCTCCCTAATTACCACTCCCCTCTCTTCCTTTCACTAATTGGCTCCATCTCCTTCACTCCCTCCTTCCCCTTTTTCAGACCTCCGGGTTTTAATGTAACCCCCCTCCTAATCATCTCCACCTCATGGTTTCCTCTTAAATAACCTCAAAATAAATAAAAAAAACGTGCTAATTAAATAAAGTCTATGGTCCGCCACTACTAGAAAGTAAGGAAGCAGAAGGGAAAAGTAACAAAGTGATGTCATTAGTTACAGCGCTGACATCTCTGAGATATTACATACAATAGATCTAAAATGATCAATCAATTATAGCAAATCGAGAGAAAATGAATGGTATAGCATTTCAGATAATGGATTAACAGTTAAGACATTTGAGTATTTGCCGATTTGTTCCCCTATTATTTAATACAACTTTGAAGATATTTGAAATGTTTACTTTTTGGTTGACTAAACAAGTGATTTGTAAATGTTAGACCAATGTAGTATGTATGTAGTCAATTACAACCTTTTGATTGCTTTAATTAATTAATATGTATCACCTTTTTTAATGTTGATTTTATTTAGGGGGCTCACTTTTTTTTAAATTATTTGATTCCATCATAATATTTACTTTTAATTCAGTGGCTACATTATATAATGGTACGCAGTGTGTCTTTTATAAGCTGTCTGCTGTGAGCTGTTTCCCCTTCAATTAATGAAGTTATCTTCTAATCATTCTTGTCATTATTATGATGATTTGCTTTTTACTTCAACCACATTTAAGCAGTAAGCATTTTACTGTTCACTCTATTATTGAAAGCTTGTCACATTGCATAAGAAAATATATTGGAATAGATCCATTTACACCAAGAATATATACAAATTAAAACAAGCTGCCTGACTTGCCACACCATAAAAAAAAACTGGTTATATTTTGATCTATCAGTGAAAATAATCCAGTAATTTAATCAACATTTACAGGCGCCATTTTTCTTGCATGATAAGTTACTTTTAATGTTTGAATATGTTTTAACTGATGATTCAATATACTTTTTCTAAAGTAACATTTTAACTGAGGGACTTTTAACAGTAGTATCTACGCTTCTTGTCTATTATGGTATTATGGATCTTAATCTGGAGAGTGAGAACAAATATTTGAGGGTCTTGAAGGATAGAGACAGAGGTGAAGGAGGAAGAGAGGATTAGAAATGAAGGAGGGAGAGGAAAAGGAGAAAGAGGGAGAGAGAGAGAGTTTTCTGAAGCGAGGGGCCATGTTAATTTGAGAAAAATGTAAACAGCATGTGTAACTGTTCAAAGCGTGACCGTCTCATTTTATATCATTCCCCCCTACTCTCCTCTCTCTCGTCCCCTCTGGGTGCTGCTAACTTCTGTCAATCGGGAATCTGCACCGCATTAACCCCTCTACCGCCAGTTCCTCTCTCTCTCTCTCTTTGTCTATTTACTGTTATCCGGCTCTACCTCTCTTTACTCCCCAACAGACACAACCTCCCCCCAACTCCTCCACAAATCCTCTTGACATCCATATATATACCGTGAAGAAATGAGGATGGCGCTGAGCGAATCAAAAGATGTGAAAGGTTCACTTTCTCCTCTCTTCTCCACTTCCCCGTCTCTCCCTCTCTCTTCTCTTCCTTTGTTTTTTCCTATTGCCGGGTGTGTTTAAGCTCACTGGTCCAACACACACTGACGCTTTTATCTGAAACACACCGACACTAATTCAACCCTCCCAGCAATAACATGCCTTGTCTTTGTGTGTGTGTGTGCATGTGTGTGTGTGTGTGTGTGTGTGTGTGTGTGTGTGTGTGTGTGTGTGTGTGTGTGTGTGTGTGTGTGTGTGTGTGTGTGTGTGTGTGTGTGTGTGTGTGTGTGTGTGTGTGTTAGAGATAGAGAAATAGAATAGGTTGCGTATGAAAGGGACACAAAATAAAAGTGTTAACAAGTATTGTTTTGTGTGTGTCTACCTAGGGAGGTCAGTGTGTGTGTCCATGTGTCCGTGTATGTGTCCCCGTGGGTGTGTGTGTGTGTGTGTGTGTGTGTGTGTGTGTGTGTGTGTGTGTGTGTGTGTGTGTGTGTGTGTGTGTGTGTGTGTGTGTGTGTGTGTGTGTGTGTGTGTTTGAGGTTTCTTTGTATTTATTTGCTCTGAGTATCAGAGGGAGCAACAGTTTTTTCTGCACTCAGCTCTCCTCTTCTCTTCTGTCTAGGTGGTCACATGTGTGAACCCCCCGGCGAACCGTCAGCAAATTTGAACTCACGGCGTGACCACCTAGAGGGGATAATGAGGGTGAGGAAGAGAGGGTGGCAGGAGTGGAGAGAGGAAGAGAGAGAGGAATTGCTGGGGATCTTTGGTTCAGCGCATCATTTCAACACACAGCCATCTTTCTGTCGCCTTCTTTTCCTTCTTTTTATAGACAAGGAGCAGCAGCCGCACCAGTCTTAGGGGGAACAATGTGTGTGTGTGTGTGTGTGTGTGTGTGTGTGTGTGTGTGTGTGTGTGTGTGTGTGTGTGTGTGTGTGTGTGTGTGTGTGTGTGTGTGTGTGTGTGTGTGTGTGTGTGTAAGCCCTCACACCCTGACTAACGTGAATCATGTACTTTCTCATATCGGTGACAGCTAACTAGACAGGGGCTTTAGCTGTCTCTGACCCCCTCAACCCCTGCCATTTTTTACTGTGAAGAAGAGAGCCCCCCTTTTCTTTTACACACACACACACACACACACACACACACACACACACACACACACACACACACACACACACACACACACACACACACACACACATACACACACACACACACACACACACACACAGTCCTCTGCATTGACATTATTTGAAAATATATATATTTTTAAATCTCTTAAACGATTACAAAGTTTGCCTTTGTGTTAGACAAGTCTGCTTGATGTGTAATAGTTTTTTGTCTATTATTTATTTTAAAATGTTTGAGGCTTGTCAATGAGCAACAAAACCCACTGTTTCTTCATCATACATTTTTAAAGACATGATTTACAACCACGTTAACAAATAATTTTGGTTGTTAACATTAATGAATAAAAACTAATAACTTTTTTTAAATGTGTAATTAAATTACAAAGAAAGACAGCACGGCTTGATCTGAAACCAAAATGTTCACATTTTTCAATACTAATTGGATTTGAAAGAGAATGCTTCCAATTATGAACGACAGGACAATTGCAACCGAATCAATTCCCAATTAGAGATTATAATTCGAGAAGGAAAGATGACCATGATATGAAAGTATAGTCCATAGGTCCATAGGCTACGTGTTTATGTTTGTTTTCAAAAGTTAAATATGATGTTTGCCTACTTACCTCCGCAAAATCTTTTCATTTTCTCCCAATCCCGGAATTCCGTTCACTTTGCTCCCACAAGTGTATCCACTGGTGAATTTAAAGGCTGAAATAAACCGATAATAATGTCCTCTTGTGGAAAACTTCGCCCCTAAAAACTTTTCATAAATCACTCTCCTCTCTCTGGACAAAAAATAATGAAAATGCAGGTGATGTCGATGTAATCCTATAAATGAAAGTATCGATTATATGAAATGATGGAGGTTGAATATTGACGCTCCGCTGGCTGGGTGTGTGTGGTCTATGTGACAGACTGAATGACGGCGGAGCCTTTTTGTAGCTACCTCCTCCTCCTCTTTTTTTTTACCCCTTTCTCCTTTTCCTCCCCTCCTTCCCATCCCTGTCTCTCCTTGTGTCGGTATCCTCCTCCCCGGTGCTGCGGGTGATTCACCGGGTTGACGCATCACAGCTCAGGCGGACGGAGCGGCTGAACCTCGAGACTTGTCACCGCTCATATCGCTCCTCGTCCTGTTGAACACGGACTGACCGCGGCCCTTTGATCTTAATCTGCTTCCCCGTAATACGGTGGATCAGGTCAGGAGGACCGGGCACCCCTAAGACCCTCAAATCACCCAGGAAACAAGGAATTACTTTCCTCTCAAATGCATTTATATGTATCAGCATTTTCCTATATAATTTGTCTGTGTTTATTATTCTTATCTATTATTTTTTCTTTTTGGTCATTTAGTTTTTATGGTTTTTGGTTAGTGTGGGTTAGGTTTTTGGGTTGTAATGTTTCTGTATAATACATTAACTCTCTCAGTTCTATATGTATTGATGAATGTAAATATTTTATGTTTATTTTCTGGCCCCCTAATTCTCAAGCGTTGTATAGCTTATTGGGGTGTCCCATTTCACATGTCTCCATTATATCTTATGATTGTTGTATATTTAAACTTGTGAATAAATAAATGAAATAATAATTGCATTACAGGTTCTCTCTGGTCTTGTGTTTGCTAGCCTTATTTTTAATATATAAAATTGTTTGTGAATTTCCACTGGTTTATACTTAATTGTTCGTGTGCCTTTCTTTGAATTGCCCGCCTTACAAACCAGTTATCAATTTAAATAAATTATTTGTACCACGCCTTCACGCAAAAAAGGCCCAACGTAATTTTTAAATAATTTATATTCATATAAATGTACACTTTCGAATACCATGGGACTATGTATGACGAAAAAATCACGGTTAAAAAGCGAGGTAAGATTTCATTGAGCAGCCTATGATGTGAATAGTTGTCGACAGGAATATTATAAGAACATGGGGCCTATAAATGTAGAGGCCTCCCATTAACTGCGATACAATCAATGGAGCATAACACACTGAGTCCCAATAAGAAAATATTTCGTCAGTTTTCTCTGGCTGATACACAGAGGGATCGGGAAGAGGGTTTGCCAGCTCCACTGCATTTCTTTGTTTTCCCTTCATTCCTCGGGTTTTAGTTGTTGGATTACGGTGATCTTCGTCTCTCACCTCCAGCTGTCACTCAGCATACCAGCAGCAGCCCACAGCGTGTCGCGCGCATGTGTGTGAGTGTGCACGAGGGGGACATTCAGGTGGAAGCATCACTGCTGATTGTCAATTGGACCTCGATCCACCTTAAATACTTTCTTAAATTGAACTAGATTTCACTTAACATTATTTTAATGGTTCTTGATTCATTCTTAGCTTTTTTAAAGTGTAAACTCTTATTTTGTCGTATAAACCTCTTTATTGTTATTGTTTTGCCTCTTATTTGTGTCTTTGTGATGCTGGCTAGACCTACATTTCCCCTCTCAGGATCAAATAATATTTTTATCTTATCTTGTTTTGAATGCTAAAGACATTACATGGATCCTTATGTAGTATACTGAGGCACTGTTTATTTGTATTTTTGTGTTTTTACTTTACGTCACATTTTCTTAAATCCATAAAGTCAATGCAATATAGGGGTTTACAGGGGGCAAACTGTTTAATGTGTCCAAAGGTTAAGTACACAAACAGGTAAATCTATCTGTATAATATTTTGAGTTTGATTTGATCAGGGCTTTCTCACAGTCACATCTAGTCTGCTCTGTATCATTCAGCTGCAAAATCTCAACAGTTTTGCCTATTGCAACGTGTTTTATGTAATATTCTCCTTCACTAGTATTTTTAAACAAGTATTCCATCTGTACTGATGTATATTCTGTGCTAAGTAGGCCTACTGTTTTATATTACAACTTCGACGTTAGAATAAAATACTGTAGAATACTCGATTTCTCTGGATGAGTTGTGCGCCACCCAGTGGTGATGGGTGTTCACTGCAGTCAGCTCTACCATGCACAGACTCTGCAACAATTTCAAACAGGAGTTGTCATGATTATCTCGATAACTCATGCAACGTGTATACACTAACAGTGCAATCGAAATCAAGTCTTATTGTTTTTTTCCCTCAATTATATGTCTCAACACAAAAAATACATATTTTCTCCAAACCGGAAGAACATACATATAGCTCACGATTATTTCCTGTGACGTAGCGCTAGCTCCCGATGCTACACGCGGGAAACAGGCGAGGCATCTCATCACACTGACAGTAAGACATGAAGTTTTCAAATCGTATTTTATTGCTTTTTTAGGTCTTCCTTTTGAGATATGTGTAAGTAGCGAGGCAATTTATATCACCTACGTGCGTAATGCTGAGCTATTTTGTTTGCACATGAACTGTGAATATCACTATGTATTTGCACTGGCCTAGCTCTGCTGGAGCGCTCGATTTGATGTACGCAGTGTCTTTGCAGGGGCGGTGTTGTAGCGCGACACGACTGTTACTGTTAAAAATGGAGCACTCACTCGAACTCATTGCAACAACGCATTAAAAAGAAGCGCACCTAGTGCAGTTGAAGTTAGCCTAGCTATTGTTAGTGCCGCAGCGTGGGTTTTAGTTATCGATTTTATTCGGAAATGGTGATACCGAAACGTTACTAAGCGGTTTGTGTCTAAAGAAAATAACGAAGTAACGATGCTCAAGATACATCTAGCTAACAGCTAAGGCTAACTATTGGCCAGCGTTAGCTCACAACTCTGCTCTGTGAACTGAGAGCACAGTGACGTTAGCTAGCATCAGTCGGAAATGTGATGAACCTTATCACAAAGAAAACCAAAAGCTACCAGACAGAAATACAATACTGAGTCTAGTATTTTCCTATTCACAAGAGGTGAGGGTAAGATACGGTAGACTATAATTGGTCTTGGACACAAAGCATCTGGTGTTATGAAAGTACCAAAAACCCATTGCAGGCAGCCAGTGGTGGAAGAAGTGCTCAGATCCTGTAGCTGTAGTAACATAGTAATTCCACATGTTAAAAATACTCTATAATTGTGTTTATATTGTAAAAAGTAAAAGTCCTGCATTCAGAGAAAGTGGAATAGGATAAGCATTCAAATATACTGAAAGTACAAGTCCTCATTGTGCAGAATTACCCATTTCATTTTAACGTATTGCATTATTGGATTATAATAACTATAATGAATTAATGTTAATTAACTTAAATGTTGCAGCCGGTAAAGGATGAGATCATTTTAAAGATCTGTAATTAAATCTATAATGATGCATCCTCGTTTATTAGTTAATTATATTTTGTATTGTTAATCTAAATCTGCAAAGTAGTTCAAGGTCTCAAATAAATGTAATGGATTAAAAATGTGCAATATTTTCGTCCAAAATGTAGTGGAGAGCAAGAATAAAGAAGCATAACAAGTCATTTGTCTTATCTTATTCATTTTCTTTTGTCTGTAGAGCATCAGTCGTTGCCTGTAGCCGAGATGGGGGACACACTGGAGTTCAGCGACATCTACCAGGAGCATAAAGGTTCCTGGGTCAGTATCCTCATCAATCATCCCTGCTCTTTAAACTGATATATAGACAGGAACTGTACTGGGAATCGGCTCAGAATAATATCCACTCAAAGGTGGATATTGACTTATTTAAAAAAAAAAAAAAAAAAAAGCTAGCCCAGCAATGTTTTAACTCCAAATGTCTGTGCAGTAAACATTTGTTATCCTGAGTATTGCTTTGACATAGGTAAGAATACAATTCGCTGACATTAAATTAAAGATAATGTCACAACCGTACTGTGTAAAAGCAAGGGTCTGAAATGAAAAATTTGCTTTAAACTCGTACTGGGGTTTAAAGTTGATTATCTAGAATAAGGGCTCTCAGTTTATGGATCTATGGTTCTGCAAACACCTTTATGCTGATTTTAAAAGTACATTTATCAACTTTTGGCAAAAATGTGTTTGTATTTGTTTGTAAGTTGGGGAAAAAATAAACAATGTCATTCTTGTTAAGAAGTTTTACACAGTCGGCAATAAACAGATTTCTTTTTAAAGAATCAATTAATTTGCAGATTTATTTTAATTGTATTAGTTGTCTATTAAATATCAGAAAAAGACAAATATGAAGTTGCATTTTCTCAGAGCCCCACATTTTCATTCTGCTTGTTTTTTCTGACCGACAGTCCAAATCCAAAGTTACGTTTATTATAACTAAAGACATCTAATATTTGCTTGTTAAAAAAAATAAATACATATAATTAAATCTATCATCAAAATGTAGTTTTTTCGCCAATCAATGGCTTTCTTTTAGGGCTTAAAATCACAGCATTTTAACACAAGTCCTGTGTCTTCTTGTGTTTGTATCTGTATCTCTTTTGTCTCTGTAGAATGATGGGCGGTTGCGTTTCAGCAAGCAAACTGTGGTTTATAAGAGCAGCAAGACGGGGAAGGTGGACAGCATCCAGGCTGCCGAGCTCAACCTGGCCCACTGGAGGCGAGTGTGTTTAGGTCATGGCATCAAGCTGGGCACCAACTCGGGACATGTCTACAAATACGATGGCTTCAGGGACACGGTGAGCACGTTTAAAAAAAAAAAAAAAAAAAAAAGCAGAGTTATTTTTTTTATAGTGTTTGATATTTAGACGTGTGTTCCGACCCTCAAGCTTGTGACCGATGCCAACTTCATTTTTCCTGTTGGGATATATAAACAGACTCTAAATCTCCCTGGTTGTATTTTTCTCTTTCTGGGAAATAATTGTTACCTTACTCGGAGGAGAACAAGGCCGCAGTGGAATATTACAATCAGACACACTCTGCTGGTTTGTTTAGCGCTGTGTTTATGACAAGGGATGTAACAAAAGCCGATAAACAACTTCCATCCCGTGTCTTGACATTTCCATGGAAAAATGTTACCATCTTGCAAAAAGGCTGCCACTTGTGTGTGTGTGTGTCTTGTTATCAAAAGTATGTGAATGATTGGCCCTTTTCTCCAAAGCTCCTAATGGGATTAATGAGGGAAACCAGCGCTAGCATGTGTGTTCTATAAACATTGTAATCATCGGCTCATGCGAGTCAGTGTTTATATCAATCCATTTAAACAATTTGGCTCAGAAGACAGACGTGAACAAAAATGTGGTTGTGTTTGTTTTTTATCACCCTCAGTTTTTGTATTTCCCCTGCTGCTCCGAGTGTATGGGGAATGTCAGCATGCAAGTGAAATACTGGGATGGAGGAACGGGTATAACCTGCAGTCTGGCTGCGAGCAGTGGGGTCTCCTGGGGTTAATCAGCGTACTTTTTTGGAGATGGATCCTCTTGTCCCTGAGCGAAGGGCGTGATGTCATTGTTTATTATCCCACAGCCAGTGTCAGTAATCGAGAGTTGGCTGGAGCTGAAGCCGCTGGCGAGCTTTACAGGAGCCTCGTTACATTTGTCCTTCTGAAGAGTCAAGAAAACGAGCCTTTGTCAGAGAGGCTGTAACTGTCTACTTGATGACCAAGGGATCTAGAGTCCTATCCATCTATTCTGTTAGTGCTGCTTACATATGTCGTTTTTTATTGGCCCAACACATCTTGTATTGAATGTATGCAGCTGCCTGTTGTGGTTGCAACTTGTAGTAAGGTCAGGTAGACTTTTTGATACCAGAACTTATATTAAGTTTAGGGCAAAAACGGTTATTCACCTGTACAAAACAAGATAAAAGTGCTTTAAGTCCGTTAATCGAGGAAGCGTTTGTAATGCTTTTTTCAATGCATGTCTACGGTAAACAGACTGTAAGTTGACTGAAATGTATTTAGTAGAAGACTGCCCACAGCAAAAGCTTTACCCAGTTTTCTCAATGCCTCCACTTCTTTAACACATGCAAGTTTGAATGTTGTTGGGAGAGACTGGATGAAAACTGTATAATAAAAGACAGACGGTTATGTTGGGTAAGACTGTGTGTGTGTGTGTGGGTAGTGGGGGGTCTGTGTTTATTATGATTAAATGAGCGGAGCAACAACGAATCTGCCAAAACTATAATGAGCAGTAGAGAAACACTCAACAGCAGGCCTGATGAGCACACTGGGAGTGAACACACACACATTCACACATCGACACAAACAGGCCTCTTCTGCACAAACTCTCAATTTTTTTTTCATGCATTTACACATCTGCTCACACATGCTGTCCTATCTAAACAATGCCTTAATCCAGGCTAACAAACAGGCTGATGAACGCACACTGACTCTCTGGGCTCTAATTGGCTGTAATAACCTTATGGACAGGCAGATATCCAGGTGCATAAACCCTGTTTCCCACAGAGTCTCTACACTGCACTAACTCGCACACCACAATCACTTCCACATGTGTGTGTACTATGAGGACACTGGCTGTGTATGTGATTGAGCATGTGTTTGTCGCTGTGTGTGACTGTGGGTCCTTCCCAGTTGTAAGCGGGCCTGCAGGATAAATAAACAGGCTGATTGTCGGAGGGGAGGGCAGATGGATTACATTCACCTCCAGTGTTCCCAGGAGGCCTCAGCGGCGGGCGCGGTTAAAATGACGTCGTGATTAATTAGCCCTCCATCACTTCACCCTTTTTGGAGGGTGTTTTTAGGCTTTGACCCATGCAGTGCCAGTGTGTTACCCCCTTACTAACATAAGTCTTTTCTCCTGCTTCGGGTGTCACCCCCTTCTCTCTGCTCCCCATCTTACTGCTCTCCCATCAGGATTTAGAGAAGATCTCTGAGTTTTTCAAGACCAACTACAAGCTGGAAGTGATGGAGAAGGACATGTGTGTGAAGGGATGGAACTGGGGAACAACCAAGTTCTCAGGTAAAAATACAATGCACTCAACAACCAAAACATCCTGTCCAGTGAAGTTGCAGCAAGATTTCTTTTTACAGGGTCGCTGAATACTCAATTAACTATTTTGTCAGTTGAAAATAGAGCAACCAATAGTCATAAGATACTCAGTTTAATGTTAACCAAATAGAGGGATCTAAGCAATTTGTATGTTTCATCAGATTTGAATGAGATACAGTAAACTTCATAATGGCAGTACAACAAAGGATCCATCCAGAATGCACACATTTCCATAAGATACCATAAACATACAGCTTATAATTAAAAGGATCTACTACTACAGCACCTCAGTGTAAACACATAGATAAATGACATTTTCCTGTTTCTCTCTCCCAATGCAGGTCCACTGTTAGCATTTGAGATAAACGACAATGCTGCGTTCGAGGTCCCACTGTCCAACGTGTCCCAGTGCGCCACGGGGAAGAACGAGGTCACTCTGGAGTTCCACCAGAACGACGACACCGAGGTCTCCCTCATGGAGGTCCGATTCTACGTCCCACCCAGCCAGTCTGATGAACGCCAAGACCCTGTGGAGGTGAGGAAGGATGTGCTTCTACTTTAAGTTATTTTTTTTTAACATTTGTGTTGATAATAGTGCTAATAAGTGTGTTTATCTTTCAGGCATTTGCTGAGAATGTGTTATCTAAGGCTGATGTGATCCAGGCCACAGGAGACGCTGTGTGTGTCTTCAAAGAGCTGCAGTGTCTTACACCCAGAGGAAGGTAGGAGATCAACACGGCTTTCCTTATTTATTATTATCCAATCCATTAACTACTTCAACCTATTGTAGTTTCATGAATTAACGCATTGTTGGCATGGGAAGCTACACAAGTTGTTAGAAGACAAAACATGAATTCCTAACTCACTCGTCTACAGTGCTGTTGTTCCCCAATTCACCTTAGATTAAGGATATATTGATCTCACCTTTCTCTTTTTCCTCACTCAGATACGATATCCGTATCTACCCGACTTTCCTTCACCTCCACGGTAAGACCTTTGATTACAAGATTCCCTACACCACGGTCCTCCGTCTATTCCTGCTGCCACACAAGGACCAGAGGCAGATGTTCTTTGTGGTGAGTGGACTTTCTTTTCTGTCTCTCTTTTTGTTCCACTTCTCTCGATCTTCCTCCCTCAATTTCTCCCTGTTGTCCTTTTTGTGTCGTCTTAACAGATCAGTCTGGATCCTCCCATCAAGCAGGGTCAGACGCGTTATCACTTTCTCATCTTGCTCTTCTCCAAGGAAGAGGAACTCAGCCTCACCCTTAACATGAGCGAGTGAGTAACTGACAGTAAAGCAGACCCTGAGTTAAGGGGCTGCATCGAGCAGAGTGCAAACTGAGCTATGGTTGTGTTGGGGAGCTCGTATTAAAGTTCTGTTGACATTGGTAATGGAAGACCACTTACATTTAGTGTCAAACTCCCTTTATCAAGTGGTAAAGCATGTGTCCACTAGAGGGAAGCAAAGGTCTGGAAGAGTAATTCACTTGACATGAATGTAACACCAGTAACTTCATCGGTTCTTTGTCTATAAAAATCAAAAAGCTGTTTTAATGTTTAAGAAAGTTAACCCTTTCTTTGCTTTGTTTTTAACAGGGAGGATGTGGAGCGCCGTTTTGAGGGCAAACTCACTAAAAACATGTCGGGGTCTCTGTATGAGATGGTCAGCCGGGTGATGAAGTCCCTGGTCAACCGCAAGATCACTGTGCCCGGAAACTTCCAGGGGTAAGCGCCCGATAGACACATTCAAACCACGTTTTCTTCTAAACTCTGTAAATCCTAATAATGTGCTTCATTCCTCCGCAGTCACTCTGGGGCTCAGTGCATTACCTGCTCCTACAAGGCGTCCTCAGGCCTCCTCTATCCCCTGGAGAGGGGCTTCATCTACGTCCACAAGCCCCCCGTGCACCTGCGCTTCGAGGAGATCTCCTGCGTCAACTTCGCCCGAGGAACCACCACAACACGGTCCTTTGACTTTGAGATCGAGACAAAGCAGGGAAATCAGTTCACTTTCAGCAGCATTGAGAGGTGAGGACTGCTCTAGTGTTTTCTTATTTAGGTCCTTTTTTAATCATATTTAGTATACTGGTATCTTTTATAAACCAAGTTTTAGTTGACCAAAAGCCTGGTCATTTAAGTCTTTTAGTAAAAAAAAAACGTAGCTTTTTCATTATACTTTTAGTCATGCCATAGTAGCATCTTGTTTTTTTCTCCCAAGCCTAATGGGTGTTTGCACTGATAACCCTTTTAAGTTACTCTGAGTCCTTCCGACTGTGCTCATTGTTTGCAGCCGCTGTAGTCCTGATATGACACGAGCAGCGCCGCTTTAGCCCTCCTTTATTTTGTCTAGTAAACATTTTGTAAACTTTTCAAAGACATGTTATCGTATTAGTCATGGAACAAATGTAACAATCCGCTACACACAGCCCTCTGTCACCCAGAAACAAGTTCAGCATACAAATCGGTCCAAAGTAAAGTCCAGTATCTTAAGGTGTAAATAATACATACAAACAATTAAAAGGTAATTAAGCATGAGAACAGAACTATCATGTAGTTGTGTATTTAAAATGACTTTTGCATCCATTGCTATTGAGAAAAATGTGACATTATAGCATTAACTACATATTAATAGATCACATTGTCCAGATCCATCTAGTGTTTTTAAGTCAAAATAACCCCGGTATTTATCTGTTCCTTACAGAGAAGAGTACGGCAAACTGTTTGACTTTGTAAATGCCAAGAAGCTCAATATCAAGAACAGAGGCTTCAAAGAGGTAAGTCATTTAATCCTCTCCCAGTTTGTTCACAAAGATATTCCACAACTTTTGTCAGAACTTCATCCCAGATATTCATCCCTGTTGCCCTTCTCCTGTGTGTCTGTCCGTGTGCCCTGTAGAAAAAGGTGGGTATGGTCATGGGCGTCATGTGTGTGAACTCTACGCTTGATTTTGATCGGTGTGGAGTGATTTCTGCTTGCATGGCGTGCCGCTGCGTGTGTGTGTGTGTGTGTGTGTGTGTTACTGAGGAAGATTTCCCATTATCCTGATTTTGGTTAGGGAATACCAATACAATTACTAAGTGATTTGTGATTTATGACTAATCAATGGACTTGGATGGTGAAGGATGGTGAAGGAGTGTGAGACTGATATCTAAGTGTGTGTGCGTGTGTGTGAGAGTTGGTTTGCATCGTGCTGACTAATGTGTGGCCCGGGGGCTTTTGGTGTGCTTTAACACTCAACAAAGATGCCTAACGGAAGCCTTGGTGATTGCCTTGAGGCCGTCCTTTTGACCTAAACGAGTTCCTGGTTGGTCTGACGTCAGTTAAAGCAGCGACTCTGTTTCTCTGGGGAAGAGACCATCTATTGTCATGGAGACGGGGTCAGCAGAGAAGGTCAATGAAAATGAATGGGGCCTGCCCTCCATTTCCTGTTGGTTTCTAATAAGAGCCTCCCTGACCGGTGGTCTGCCCCCCCCCCCCCCCCTGGAGGATACAGCTTTTGATGCATGGAGATGTGACTGAAGAACACTGTTTGGTTTGGTCTACTACAGTTACATGCCCACTAATATCCCAACTGTTATTACAAGGTCGATCCAGGTCGTATAAACGTCATATTACGTTTTGAGTTCCAAACTTAAGACATTTTTAGTTCTTTGACCAATATGTGTCTCCATTTGGGGGTTATCGTCAGTATGGGACACTCGGAAAATAAAATAGTTCCTTCATTCATACCTGGAGTGGATGTAGGGGAGTTGTTGCATTCATTCACAGACAAATGAATGTTACACGCACCCATACTTTCTGCATACGCTCGCTCGCTTTATCTTTCCCTAGAATCGCCGACCGCACAATGGCTTTTGGCTGAATGGAGATCATTCCTGGGGGCTTCTGGCAGATGTGCAACATCATTATTGCTGACTAGCAGTCGCACACATACACTCAAACGCTTTCAACCTTACTCGCTAGTGTTAAACACAACCTGTGCACCAAGTTACTTCTTAGTTTTAAGAAACATTTAAAAACATTGTTAGGCCTGGTGTGCAGAAGAGCAAACCCTTCACCAGAAACACCAACAAACGCCACAGGCCCTTTTTTAACAGCAATCATTTTAGGAGGGCGTTTAAAGGAATGAAAGAGGGAGGCTCGATTTTATTGACTGGAAATATAATTCTGAAACCTGAAAGTGCGCCTAATAGGGCCCCTTTAACTTTCCTGAATCTAACCGGGATCCATCCTATGAGCGAACATTACTTCAAACAGTAAGAGTGAAGGATCAAACACCGTCGTGAGGCCCGGTGTTTGTGAAGCGTGAAAGCTAACCCAAAATTATGGGGGTTTTTCCATTTTCAATAAGTAAATTGTTTCAATCTTTTGTTTCATAAAAATCCCAAATAATTGCCTCTAAATTGGAATAATAATCATTGGTGGTTTGGACGGTTGGAGAGGTTTTTCAATTATAATCATTTCTTTTCTTTTCTTTGTGACATTTCTCAGTATCTTTCTAAACTCTTTTCTCAAGTGATTATTGGACAAATAAAATAATGGTTGATTGCGGCCCTGAAAGAAGTTTATTTTATCGAGATGACCTTTTCCGTCCTGCTTGTGGGTCATGGAGGACTCTTCTTCTTTGCGTATGCTTTATTGTGGGTTGTGTTTGTTTGTTTGTTTTTGTTGCTGACTGTGCAGTTTACTTTCAGGGCATGAAGGGTAAGATCGACGAGTACAGCGACTCGGACGAAGACCAGCACGATGCCTACCTGGAGAGGATGAAGGCCGAGGGAAAGATCCGAGAGGAGGGCAACGAAAGCGCCGACTCGGATGGCGAGAGCGGTGAGTGACGTCTCCGTGCGACACGTACAACATGTCTGCTTAAGAAGATCTGAAGTTCTGATTGTCTGTCCTGTTTTAGATGAGTCGTTTAACCCCGGAGAAGAAGATGATGACATTGCAGAAGAGTAAGTGACTTAATCTTGGAATCTTTTTTTTTTTTTTTTTCCGTCACTGACTTCTTAAACGTTTTTCCACTTCCGTCAATCAGGTACGACAGCAATGCCTCAGCAAGCGAGAGCGACAGTGGTGAAGATGCCGACGATAGTGATGATACGAAGAAGAAGAAGAAGGAGAAGAAGGAGAAGACAGTCAAAGTGGTGAAGGAGAAGAAAGAGAGGAAACCCCGCAAAGAGGTGAGAGAGCACTTGGGACAGGAAGAAAAACATGAGAGAAAGAAGATGAGTTCAAGCAAGGCATTAACCCTCCCGTCTTTGTTCCATGCGAGTAGAGGAAGAGGAGGCCGAAGGAGGTCGGCGCGCCCAAGAGGCCGATGAGCGCCTACATGCTGTGGCTCAACGCCAGCCGAGAGAGAATCAAGTCTGAGAACCCCGGCATCTCCATCACAGAGATCTCCAAGAAGGCCGGAGAGATGTGGAGGACGCTGAGCAAAGAGGACAAGGAGGTGAGGCAGGATACTCAGGAAGGGAGGGAGGGAGGGAGGAGTTTAGTTCCCCTCCTCTGTTCTCTAACCCCTAGTGAATGCATCACCATTGTGTGAGAGAATGACATAAAAGCAAAGTGTGCAAGTTGTATGAATGATCATTTGGATTTTGAAGTCCTGGTACTAGTGCTCTGCAATCATTCAATATGATGGTTTATAATCTTTCAATTAAATGCTTTAGTAATGAAATCATATAATCTCACGATACACAATAACATCTTTTATTTTGATAATTACAGGCACATTCAAACAAATGTATCTGAAAATCTGATTTTAAATTAGAAAAATAATTAGTACTTTTTATTTGTCAAGTATTAAACTCAAACGGGAAGATTAAAAAAAAAAAGGCTTTCCCATGCGAGTTATTCCATGTTGACTTGGATTGATTTCGATTGGGTTTTTAAAATGTTATATTGTCAGATATTTTGACATATGAAAATAAACCCAATTAAATATTTTTCACATTTGTTATGACGCCTACGTTTATCTAAGATAATCTGGAACATGTGGCATTTTTATTTAGTTTACAAAAATAATGAAGAATGATGAATCAAACCGCTTTGAAGTAAAATAATTGAAATCACATCCAGATGTGTTTAATTTTCATTGCATCTGTGCCACATTACATACATTACAGAGCATTCAGCTGACGCTGTTATCCAAAGCAACTTACAATAACTGCAATAATCCAATAAAGATTCAAACTAAGGACATTTTTTAATGATTCTTCTCCAAGGTATAAGCGAAACAGGCGGGTCTTCAGTTTGCAACAGAAGATATGTAGACTCTGCGGTCCTGATATCAGTGGAAGCTCGTCCACCATCTAGCACACATGTGTCAAACTCAAGGCCCGGGGGCCAAATCAGGCCCGTGGTGGATTTAATTTCGGCCCGCAGGATAATTTTTAATTACTATTAGATCTGGCCCGCCGGTATATTGCACGCACACCTTCACTCAATCCTGAGGATTTCCTCAGCTCAGAGCCTGACCCCAAACATTGATGAACTTGCCCCCAAGATGAGATGCCAAGTATCTGGCTTGAACTAGCATCACAGAGCAGCAAACTGAGTTTCAATGGATGTTTCCTTTTTGCACTTTTTTTCTTGCAACAACAGGGCAGTTTGGTTTGTTTGAGGGAAGTCGTTTTTTTTTAAGCTGTTGTTGACCTGTGGAAAAATATAATCCTAAGAAATGAAGCTGCAGATAGAGCCATAAGAAATGAATGCAACTGATTATTTAATGTTTTTAATATTGTTTTTATAGGCAATCATTTAAGCTTTGTTAGTTCCAGGTTTAATATGTGCAATAAGATCATTTCAATAAGTTTTGCATTAAACATTGAACCAGTCCGGCCCTCGACTAGTACCCATTTTCTTATTTTGGCCCACTGTGTATTTGAGTTTGACCCCCCTGATCTAGCAGGACAACATTGATCTTGTGCTTAGCAGAGCATTGTTTCCACAAACCCAATCTTTATGAATTCCTCCTGTGATGTTTTATCCATTCCTCTGCTTTACACATACTTCTATATTTGCTTCAGGAGTGGGACATAAAGGCAGTGGAGGCGAAGAAGCAGTATGAAATTGCAAAGCAGGAGTTCAAAGACAGCGGCGGAGGAGCGGCGGCGGCGGCGGCGTCCTCCAGTCCTCAGAAGTGAGGCTCGCACCACAGAAACTCATCTCTGTGTTTAATACATCACTCTCTAACATATGTGACTTTCCTCCTAAGGGAAAGTAAAAAACCTGCAGTCAAGAAGGAGGAGAAGAAGAGGAAGTCCGCCGGGGGAGACAAGGAGAAGGATCGCACCGTCAACGACAGCTTCAAGAGTAAAGAGTTCATCGAGACCAGCGAGGACTCATCGGACTCTGACAAGAAGAGCAAGTCCAAGAAGAAGAAGAAGAAGAAGAAGGTAAAGCCAGTAGAGATCCATTATCAGATTCCTCCTCTGTTCACCACAGCATTCAGACCTCACTCTTTGTAGTGGCTCAGTGTCTGCATTCATCATATACATTGTTGTTATGGTAAACACATTAGGGGGCAACTTTGTTTTCCACCACTTCCAAGTGAGCATTCAAATGTAATGCAGATTGTTTTGAGTTGAGGAGATGACATAGTTACAGTTGCTGTTATACCATGGCCACTGAAACCTCTTTATTCTGTTTGACTAGCAGGTGTATTAGTTTCTAGATACTGGACCTTATATCCAAAGGCATTACTAGATCCAGTTAAGGAAAACAATGGCTATACATCATGGAATTATCTGCGTGTTATTTTTCAAACACCGATTAGAATAGCTTTCAGTGAGAAGTGAGAGCTAGACACATTTATTTTTAAATAAGGCAGGAGTGTTAACGGGTGTCAGCTGCAGAGGAAGAGGAAAGGACCAGACAGGAAGTGGCAGGTAAGAGCTAGAGCGAGAAAAAGCGGTTTAAGTCGTTCATCATGTGATATACAGGGTTCTTACGGTCATTAAAAACCTGGTAAAGTCATGGAAATTCAAAAAGCTAATTCCAGGCCCTGGAAAAGTTTTGGAAAACAATATTTTTCCCAAAGTTTTGGAAAAGTAATGGAAATGTAACTAAAGTTGCATCAAATATAATTTATATTTTATCTAATCGCCAAAATAGTAATACTATAATGATAATAAATACTGTATAGTAATGAAACGTAAAATGGCATTTAACTGACGAGGTATTTTGCTGGTGAGAGATTTTAGTTGCTTTAGCGTGTAGAAGCTACTAAGCCTACTATTTGATTTGTTTTGGATTTTTTTCCTGTTCCATGTTAAAATAAACCATTTTCAGTGGTACCGTAATTTATTTGGTCATGGAAAATTAGGTAAAGGTAATGGAGAAGTCATTGAAAATAATTTGTAAAAAAGTGTATGAACCCTGGATAGACCAGGGTGAGTGCTAGGTATTTACGCTATGTTGCAAACAAATGCACTGTTTGTATATCGTAGTTAGGGGAATTGAAGGTTCTTCATATGTGGAATGCAGCCCTAACCAGGCTGATACTGAGGTTGAAAATACAATCTTATATATGTATATACAATATTACAATGATTTCCTTAGTTAGATGGGAAATCTGCCAATGAATAAAGCAATTAGTTAGTCACCTCTGTTGGGAGAAACACTCATTGAGACACAGTTTATAAATGAACACAGACATTTTGTGGCATGTCTGCATGAACGCTTTCTGCGGCTCATCGGCTAACAAATACTCAATATGTCTGTGATGAGCTGATTTCCTCAGTCTAACGCCAGCCTGATTTGAAACCTTGTCAAAACAGAAAATCAATAACATAGCTTCCTCTTTATGTTTTTCATATTTTAAATGAAGAAGTGAGATCGAAAGTATTTATACAAGTCAGTGAGTGACATATATTTGATTGCACCTGGCATTTCATTGGTAGGTAGCCATGGTACAAGAATACAATATTCAACATTTTGTCTTTATTACACACGCAAATGAACCCACCCTTTTGTTTTTATTCGTTAAGGAGGAATCTGAGGAAGAGGAGGAAGCGGCTGCGTCCACACCTGCCAGCTCTGAGGCAGACTCTGATTAAACGTGCACATTTCTACCCATCCAACACACAAACCAAGGACCAAGGATTTATACTCGTCATGATAATCTCACCCAAAAGGACAGACCGACAAATCAACAGACTTGAGTTGTATTTTTTTCTCTTTTACATGTTTTACTGAAGAGTACCAACTCTTCTTGTGACTCTCAAAGCTCATGTAATATTTGATATTCGAGCAGGTTTGCCTTCTGACAGCTCAACGGTGGTGTACAGGTGAACCATTTTTCAAAGAAGGGTTTGTTTCATCTCACCCACTGGGATGGTTTTAGTTTTATTAGCGCCGAGGAGATAGTTATCCTTTTGATTTGGATCGGGCAGAGGGAGCAGATGCAACGCCTTTTTGTCTTTCCTGTGTGTAGAGCATTTAAATACAGCAGTTAAGTGTTTCTTTTTTTTGTGTTTCACTGTCATGTTTTCTGGCTTAAATAAATAAACCATTTGTAATAAACCTGCACTTGGTTGTACACACGTTTTTTTTTCTATCATGCTGCTAGGTGGTAATACAAACAAAGTGCTTTAAATACATCCAATTTGAGTTTAGGGCCCTGCATAACCAGTGTTCATCCACATGTTGTTTTCCCTGTAGGTCTGTTCACAACTCACTGTCGATGCTTTCTCTTTCCAATATGGCAGCTCGTTGGAGGAAAAGTCATCCAAATAGGCAAGGAGGTTTGTGCTGAACCCCTGCAACCCAAACACTTTTTCCCCTTTTCTTCTTGAGCTGATTCCTCGTGTTGGAGTTCTTATCTTATAAATGTACAACAGCCTAATAACTCATAAATAAAATGGGTGAAAATTGATAAAATGACAATTAACTCAAATTAGTTTCTGGTCAAATATTTTTTGACAAAACGTAACCAATTAAGTAACTGTGCACTTTTTATTGAGCCACTTATAACCAACAAACCTATCATTATGTGCACATATTGGTATGCCTGTTAACGGCAAAGTAATAGAAAATGTTATCTATTAAAATATCTCCAAATGACCACATGGTATCTACAGTACTAAAAAACAACAACTTTAAACCTAACATGTTCAGCCAACATGGATCAGAAGTCTTTAAAAGGCCCATTTAAATTCCTTGATATAGTTCAGAATTTGTTTTTGTTTCCACCTATCCATTGAAGACAAGGCACTGTGGTTTAGAGACATCTTGGCTCTTACTGTACTCAGCCAATTATCAAAAGGATTTCTATCCGCTGCGGTGCAGAACCATTTAACCAGGCTGGCTGTGTGTTATTCCGTAAAGTCAAAAGGCGACCCTCTTAAATGTTGGGGAGAGAGTGGTCAGAAACGGAGGGCTAGAGCCTAAGTACATGGCGGTTTGTAAAAGGTCTGCTATATCAGGGTCTAACGGGGTGGTTTTTAAAAGCCAAACATTCCCGGATGCGTGGTTCACCTCCACTTGGGACAGTCTTGGTTTTGATAAGATACTCTTCCTGCACATCCTGCTGCAGTAACACTGACTGGATGTCCACAAAATACCCCCCCCCCCCATGTTTATCAGTTACATGTTGAAATATGTTTTTGCTAAACTCCTTATCCACTGAGCTTCTTTAAATCAGTTTTGCAAAAACTTCACTTTGTTTTCTACATTTTTGTCGCTTCAAATCATAGTTTCTGTTAATTTCGCTGCACCTTCATGTCTTATTCTTCGGTAGTGAAATCAGAGGATTCAAATGAAATCCTCCTCATCGTCACACACATGTACGAAGCACCGCTCACACAGTGAATTGTATACTTTGCAATTAACCCAATCCTCGTATTAGCAGTTTGAAGCATGGTGGTTGATGAGAAGTCGCGATCACTAAGCAGACATATCAAAACCGGGTTACATGGATATTTCACTCAACATTTTAAATGTCAGTGGTGGCGCTTAAAGAAGAATCAATGGATTACAGTCATTAAGATTCATTAGATGTTAAGTCATTAACACATTGAACTAAGTCACCAACATGTGGTCCATTCTTCCATTGGGAAACATGTCTGTACATACATGAAGATCCATTAACAAAGAGTTATTTCAGTTTGGACCAAAGTGATGGACTGACCATCTTTGCCATCCCGAGAGTTGAAAATAAGTAATGTCCAAGTTCATTTCTAAGGTGTTTTTCACGAGACTTTGGGATGTTTGTGTGCTGGCATGTAAAATAGTTGCGGTTAAACACAAATGTGAATGTGTTTGCATAGATCCCTTCCTGTTGAGTTGTCACTTTCATTATGGTTTCCTCTTTCACGAAGAAATCCATCGACCAATCATACTCATCTGTGTCCGCGCCTACGATCTGACAAATGGTGTCTCATATTTGTAGATGCAGTATATGTTTCACAGTGTTGTCGTCCATTACACGAATGCTTAGAGTCTTGGTGATAAACGGTACAGTCACATGCAGCCTGAGAGCCTGTGCATGTGTGTTTATCCTAGCTTGTATTCTGTTACCATTAATTGACCACAAACATAATGGACCCACTTAAGAAATGACAATGTCTCCTTGCACATACATCTACACACACTCACACACACGCACACTGTCCTTGAATCATTACATTATCTCCCTGATGTGAGTGCCAATAATGCTGCTGGTGCTCGTGAGTGTATTGAGAAGTGGTCGTATCATATGTCCCAATTATTGCACAGTTGTCAATAACACTGTTTGTAATTTATTACAGTACATCAAGCCTCCTATAGGAGTCTGTAAGTATTGAATACGTCCGTTTTTTGTATTCTGTCGAAGAAAAGGAATTAGGAATGATATTTAATGGAGAACATTTGGATTTGAGTGATTACATTTAAAGTTCTGGCACTTTCAGAAGTGTTTAGAGTTACTTTCAAGGCGCAGTGAATGCATCTTGGATACACTTGAACTGATCAATTTCTGTCCTGTCCCTCCAGTATTTCCATGTATTTGTAAAACATGGCACTTTTTAAAAAACATAATCAGTCAGAAACATTTTCTCATCTAGGACTATACAGATTTATTTGACAGATTAACATTTCTAAATCGTTTTTGAGTTTATTACTTTCTATGAGTTTATACATTAATTAATATATACAAACAATTTCATACATAGGTTGATGTTAGACTGTCCTTAGCTGAGGGTCGCAGGCGGCAGGATTCTTCTCCTGTTAGAGCCGAGTCATAAACAAAGCACTCTCATTAATAACAAGTGTACTTTAAGAGGCAGGGGTCAGAACGTCTCTAGACAAACGTCAGAGACAGTGAGGTACGGCTGTTTTTCTAAGCCTTCGAAATCAGTCATCTTTAGATAAAGATTGCATGCTCAGTTCGGGATGTGGAAGGAATGGTCGTTCTTGAAAGTGGATGGTGGCGTACAATGTTCAAGGTTCAAGGTTCAAGGTTCTTTATTGTCAATCTGACATAGCTACAGAGTAATTATGCAGTTGAAAATCTTATGTCACAGGCTTCTCCAACAATGCAACATAATAACATAACATAATAACAATAAGAGCATGAGCAATACAAAAATAATAATAGTTATAAAAATGAAATAAAGTTATGATGTGGAATAGTGCAGTATGAGTCTATATACAAGTTATTGGAATGATATATATATATTAGGTATTAGATACATACTACTGAGTAGCAGTTGAATGTTTGAAGTTGTTTCAACAGTTCAATTGTTTAACAGTCTCACTGCCCGCGGGAAGAAACTGTCTCCGAATCTTCTTGTCCTTGCCAGGATGCTGCGGTAACGTCTGCCAGACGGCAACAGAAAGAACAGTTTGTGGCTGGGGTGATGGGGGTCTTTGATAATCCGTAGTGATTTCTTCGTGAGCCGCTGGGAGTAAAGGTCCTCCATGGATGGCAGCTCCGTCCTGGTGATGTGCTGTGCAGTTTTCACCACCCTCTGTAAAGCCTTACGTGTGACTGCATACTTGTGACTGCATACTTGTATTTGCTTGTATTGTTCATCTTCCGTTTTACTGTTGAGCTTTCAGTTTACCTGCAGTATAGGACATCAGTTTCAGTCTCCTGCAGCCAACAACAGAACAGCTTGATCTCAGATGGACACCTCGCGTAGTAAAACGTAACCTTATTTTCTTGAGTCCTGTCTTTGAAAGCCTGGGTAACATCTGACAGTCTTGACAGATTTCACTAACTTATTCCAATTTATATGTATTGCTTTTTATAGAGCTTCACTCCTATTAAACCAACACAATAGACGCACTGCAGAAATGTTGCCTTTTTTTAATGTATTTTACATCCTTTATTTATGGATCTGTGAGTGAAATGTGTAGGTTTGGTGGTTATTTTCCGTCTGAACCACTTCTACCAAGATATCAACTTAGTGACTGTAGTGAATTTGAAAAACTCACTGAAAGGATGACAGAAATGTGGCTCGAGCAAATTAAAATGAATGTAGAGTGTGTGTGTGTGTGTGTGTGTGTGTGTGTGTGTGTGTGTGTGTGTGTGTGTGTGTGTGTGTGTGTGTGTGTGTGTGTGTGTGTGTGTGTGTGTGTGTGTGTGTGTGTGTGTGTGTGTGTGTGTGTGTGTGTGTGTGTGTGTGTGGAATTAGATGAGATGCTGAGGCGAAAGAGGCATGGGAGATGGGGATTTGTGGTGAAGGGAGACAGAGAAAGAGGGAGGGACAGCAGGACACTTACACATTTCCTCTCGCTCATTTGACTAAAGGGAAGGGAGGTCTTGTTTGTGTCATAAACCAATGAAATAAGAGGAGAGAGGCAGTGAGGTTTAATGATCATGTATGCAATGACACAGATGAACAAAGGCCACACCAAGTGAGTGAAGGACAGGAGCAGCTTGAACATTAAAACCACATTTCTCTCACTGGAGTCAGGTGTGAGCTACAGATCCACCACCTCACTTCTCTGAAGGCACCTGTTGAGACGGGACAGGAGTGGCACTTTCCTCTCGGACCCCGACCAATCTTCTGTTGCTCTCTTTCTTCAACCATGATGTGGGGCTGCGTCACTGACTTCTTCACCTACGAGACCACCAAGTCTGTGGTGGTGAAGAGCTGGACTGTGGGCATCATCAACCGGGTCGTGCAGATTTTCATCTTCTCATATTTTGTCGGGTCAGTAATGTGTGATTTTCTCAGTATCTGTCATACTCATGTTGCATTCTGTGGGAAATGAAAAGCTTGATTAAACAATTGGTTTACCCTGATTACAAAAAGGCATACATTATCATTCACCTCTTGATATGTGATACCCGTGCAGATCATTTTGCTTGCATTTAGTCAAGTTATGAGATATAACTGTTTTCCCTGGAACTACAGCTTCCAACATTTGTTTGTATCATGTCCAACTCCAAACACCCCCTCTAATCCACAGAACAGCTTAATTAAGAGAAGCAATACAACAATGTTAAAATACTCCGTGACAAGTAAATTCCAGCCTTATAAGTTGTCAACAAAAATTACCAACAAAATGCTATTAAAGCATCACAATTAAAAATCATTGTGCAGCAACATGGCCTATATCAGTGTTGCATTAGGTTACATTGAATTATTTGAGGACAATTGTTGATGCATGATGCTGCATTTTATTCTTGAATCTGGTTAAAAGAGATCATTAAAAAAAAATGTATTTAGTAATTAGGTAGTATAATCTTACTGAAGTGGACATTTGAAAAACTATTATCAAATGTTTTTTCAGCTAAAGAGGGTAGCCAGGAAATGACATATCCCCATAAGTGAATCAGAGAAGTTAAATATCACTTTTACTTGTTTCTACCAGAGTACGTGCTGCTATCCATGCTTTTATACTTGACTTGTAGGCCTACTTAAAAGAGAGAACATACGTAGTTTTAGCTCACTGGATAGGGGTACAGTTGAAACTCGAGAAACAAACTGAATATTTATTTCAGATGTTTGGAGTTTTTAGTCTTATGGAAACACAAATATGGATCAGCTGTCTTGTTTAAAGAAACATCTTCAAAAAAACGGGTATTTTAATTTTTGGAAAACTTGGATGCTTAGCGCTGTCCCTCGAATGTAATGCATGAGGCCCAAAATGTAGCTATTTTATTGTTTAAAAAAGTAAAAAGAGCACAAGCAATAAAAAAACAGTGAAACCAGCAATAGAGATTTGAAAGTTGTTGTATCACACAGGAGAGATTTTAGACTTATGATCTTCTGTTCTGCCACCTACTGCCAAAGCATGAAGTATGCATTATACAGAGGTGAGTAAACCAGATATAACATGACATTTAGACTTGCTCACTTATTTATAAAAACATGTCTTTGTTCCCTGATCACACATTATAAAAGGCAATTGTATTTGATTATATGTTATAAGCTGAATTTGATCTACAAAGCCAGTTCATTGTGTCCCAGACCTCCTGGAATTAACTCTTGACCTGCTGTTAAATCTTTTGTTTTTTGCAGATGGGTTTTCATCCACGAGAAAGCTTATCAGGTGACGGAAAACAGCGTCGAGTCCTCCGTGATGACCAAAGTGAAAGGATTTGGTTACCATAACAACTATGTTATGGATGTGGCTGACTATGTCATACCCCAACAGGTGTGTGAACCTGATCATACGTGAAACACACCTGATCTTTGACATTTAAGTATTCTTTCAAATAACTTCAACTTCCCCCATCAGACAGAGCACACACACACATAATGATGGTTTGGTGGTGGTTTCAGATGCATGTAAATAACTCTATTTTGCCATTATTGCTAAGGAAAATATGTTGTTATGGTTATTTTCTATCTGCGGCACATTTTGACCAGTGTAATGCATAACACAGCAGTAAACCATAAATGTTCTTCTGTGTTTCAGGGTGCAGCTATCTTCTGCATCTTGACCAAAGTCATCATCACAGAAAATCAGTTTCAAGGAAAATGTCCAGAGGTGAGGACACATTCAAAACATCCATTACCATCCGCATTATAAAGCTTTCTTTATCCCCGCTGAGGACACAATGTGTATTTTGCAGTCAGAGCCCTTGGCTTGCCGTCTCGGGACATCTTTTTAAAGCTGTTAACTAATAAAGATTGAAATTCGACAAACTGCCTCCTTGAGTTTCAAATCCACAGTCAATCCTAGAAATAGAGTCCATAGACAGTTCAATCAGGAAAGACTCAATTTTTTTTTTTTTTAAAGAACATTTATTGACACGTGCCATATGATAAATGTTAAAAGTCTTTGGCGATTAGACCCCGATCCTGAAATCATTTAAATGTATTAAGGTTAAGTGTTTGGACAATGATAGTACATTGACTTTTTGTGTGTGTGTGTGTGTGTGTGTGTGTGTGTGTGTGTGTGTGTGTGTGTGTGTGTGTGTGTGTGTGTGGTGTGTGTGTGTGTGTGTGTGTGTGTGTGTGTGTGTGTGTGTGTGTGTGTGTGTGTGTGTGTGTGTGTGTGTGTGTGTGTGTGTGTGTTTCAGTATAGTAAACAGTATAGCTGTGTCGAAGATGAAGACTGCGTCCAGCACATTGACAAGATCCTCAGCAATGGTAGGTCTAACTTCTTATAGATACCGTTTAATTCATTTTTTACCTAATGTGCAAAAAGACTACAACGACTCCCAGAATACCCAGACAACCTGTCTTGATATGTGCAGAGACTTATATGCTATTGTTAAACCTTCTGTATAATTCAATGATCAAGAAATGTGTAAAATCCTAAACATAGTGTTAGGGGTAGGGTTAGGGTTTCTTTAACTGTATAGCAACCTTTCATGTATCTTTTTAGACATTTCTGTTACATTGGATAGTGATAGTGATGAAAAAATTGAAAACAAGAGGATTATCTAGTAACAGCACAAATAAAATCTTTCAAGATTATGTTAGTGATGCACAAATGACTGATAATAACGGCAGGTAGAGTAGTTACCAAAACTAAACCATTAAGTCTACCTTTGAATCAGAAGTTGGTAACTGTGCTCTGATTGGATATTTTCCTTTGGGAATGCTGTAAGAGGTAGAGGAACATCATTCTCAGTGATTATCTGTCTGATGCACTACTATCAGGATATCGTGACAGGTTCAGCAATAAAGATACCAACTGAAGCTTTAGCTGAGGTCTCTCTGTCTGTTTCACACACCAGGAGTAATAACAGGTGTTTGCCTAAATTCGACCATTGGAGATAAGATAGTGGGTCGGTGTGAGAGTGAAGGATGGTGTCCAGCCGAGAATGACCATGTGGAAATGTAAGATTTACACACACACATTCACACACGCTTGTGTAGTCGAAGACCCTTTATTAAATGACTTGATTGTGATCCTTTCGCTTCTTTCTCTGTTAACATCTTGACCAGTACACCGTTGCTAGACGTGATAAACTTCACCATCTTCATCAAAAACAGTGTTCGCTTTCCTCTCTTCGATGTCACCAGGTGGGTAACACAGGCATACACACACACATACAGCTGAAAACAAATGTGTGGGACATTTTGTTTCTTAACACAAGTTTGAAACACTTTTCTCTCAGAGGGAACTTTCTCTCCACAATGAGTCGCGAGGAAATCATGAAATGCAACTACCACCCGGTGGATAGCCCCTTCTGCCCCATCTTTAAAGTGGGAGACATTCTGAACTACACCAACCAGGACCTGGCAACCCTGGCAAACAAGGTCGTACATTTCTCCTTCCCTCCAAAATGATCTTGACTCTTTATTCTCAAAGCTAAAATGTTGAAATGGCACGGGAGAACTTCACACAAAGTGACAGTTTTGTGTAAGATAAACCCAATTAACATAAAAAAAAAGGAAAATTAGTGAAGGTCAATTGAGCATTAATGCGCTCTAAGGATGGTTCCATTTTTCAAGCTAAGAAGTCTGTGTTTTTATTTTAGTACTGGTCATGTGATTAGTTGATACACCACAGAGCTTGTAGAAACAGATTTTCTTAAGATGTACAGATTATTTGTACTTTCTGGTGTGACCGAACCCTGCTTATTAAAAGCCAGAGGGTTAGGGTTGACCCAATAAAAGTCATGTTAAATTCTGAACACTAAGATTAAGATATACTTTATCGAGTAATTCAACTGAGGTTACCCTTTTATGAACCACAGACTTACAGGTGTAGAGCCTTAAATAGTGTATCTCCTTTACTCATCTTTCTCTTTCAGGGTGGAGAAATAGGAATAAACATTCAGTGGAAGTGTAATCTGGACTATGACATTGAAAACTGTGTACCGAGGTACTCGTTCACCCGACTGGACAAACCATTTGAGAAGAATGCCATCTCCAATGGCTACAACTTCAGGTAATAAGGCTGATTTTACTCTTGATGACTGCTTTCTATTCCTTTACATCCTTTGGTCACTTCTGTTTCTTTTCTCTAATGCAGATTTGCCAAATATTACATGACAGAAAATGGAACTGAGTTCCGGACACTTCACAAAGCATATGCCATCCGTTTTGATGTTATGGTCACTGGCAAAGTAAGTTTGAATGTATTTCTTTTATAGATCTCCCTTGACATTTACTGCAACATTTTTCACTGAAAACATGTAAGGGCACCCTTTATCAGATCTCTTCCAACATTTAATGTGGTTTTCCTTGGCACGTGGTACGTAGTTATCTTCTACGATAAAGTAGTTTAACCATAATCCTGCTGACCATCAAACCAACAAACCAAATCAAGAAAACATAACATCTTTGGGGGAGGGGAATGTCCTTTAAAGTTATATAATTGTTTCAAACAGCAACATAACAGATTACTTTATGCAAGGCTAATTGCTTTAAAATCTCCATTGATGACTGTCAATAAGTACTGTTAACTGTCATCTTTAAGAACATATGCACTTTTCACCCAAAAATGTGTTTAATAACTTTTAATTAACATTTAACTGTAAATATTCTAGAGAGAGCACTCTCTGGGAATGTTTGTACATAACGTCCCGCAAACTGACTCCATCTCTTGCAGGCAGGAAAGTTTGACACAATCCCAACGCTGATCAACCTGGTTGCTGCCTTCACCTCTGTTGGACTGGTAGGAATATCAGATCAGGCAAAAGATGATTAAAATGCATTTTTCTTGTTGCTTTAAGATATGATGACATTTCTTTCTTTGTCTTTGTCGACAGGGTACGGTTCTTTGTGACATTATCTTGCTGAACTGTTTGAAAGGGGCAAAGCAGTACAAAGCCAAGAAGTTTGAAGAGGTAATGCACGTTTCTATAAAAACATGTGCAAGCAATTTGACTATCAAATACGTATAGGCTGTGTGACTTTCCCCAAAGCATTGAGTCCAGGTGAGCTGTCGTGTAAGAGCACCATCACAGACTTTCTTCATTGTTTTCTTCATCCAGGTGTCGGACGCTCAGATAGAAGCTTCCCTTGCTCAAAGTCCAGTAAGCCAGCTGTCACTCAAAGAAGGCATCAAGAGCTCCTATGACTCTGGAGCCATTTCCCTCGCTACTTCTGACCACGCTATGTGACTGACGACAACAACAGCAACTATCTGAAGACTTTCCCCTCTCTTTCTCCTTTATAAACATATTACAAAGGACTCATTATGCCTTTCTTTAGTAGGCTTGCAGTTTGAGTTTGAAATGTTTATGGAATTGGGTTAAGAAGGACAATGTTGCTAACATCTGTGTCATTTTGCATCATAAAAAGTCAGAATATAATAATGATTGCCTTTACCTCATAACAATAACTTTAACTACCTGGATGGCAAAACTCAAGCAAAAATTCAATATGAATGGCTTACTTTTAGAATTTAGAAAAAGCTTGGTTAAAACTACAGCCATTAAACTCAGAGGAAAACACACAGTAGTAAACATGTTATTTAATTGTAAACAGTTTTGCTTTTACCAAACATTTTACAGCTACACTTAAATGCAAAATGATTAAACACACTTCACATTTATTGCTGGCATTGTTTGTATGAGCTTTTATTTGAAAAACACATTTGTCACAAAATAAAATCAGTACTGAAAATAAACAAACAAAAATGTGTACATTTTGGAGAATTTCTCTTTCTTGTCCTCTTCACAAACTCATTACCCTTCTTCTCTGTCCTGCACAAATACAAGCACTAAAGAGACTGCTAATGGTGTAAAGACATAGTTCATAATGACAGTGTCCGATAAGGACAAGTAACGATTGTCTTCATGATGGATTCAAATTCTCAAATAAATGTTTGGCCTATAATACATCAGAAAACCTTGACAAATGGCAGAATATCAGAGACTAAGTGACTATGAAAATTGTAAAAAAAAAGTGAATTTATTCTATAGCTTTTGAGATTGCTTTTTGAGCATTTCATAAATAGTAAATTGTAGAAAAGTGCAGAAGTGTAGTAATGTAAAGAGAGACATGACATGCAACAAAGGTCCCACGGCTGAAATCAAACGCTTGGAGGCCTGAAGCAGAAAACAAGCCACAGAAGATGCATCAGTCAGAAAACTGCAAGAGATATATAGCATTAAAATGTCTGATGCTGCCACATATAGCACAGAGAGTCAACATATAACAAATTCAACATGGAGCAATGGCTACTTGGTGTCACAACAACAGAGCATTGGTCCGCATGAAAGGTATCAGCTGCTCCTTGGTGTGTATTTCAGCTCATGTTTTATTCCCCACCTGGACTGATGTACGACACACAAGTCATGCAAGTAAAGAAAACCATATGCCTCCTTTTCTATTATGGTTACCCAGATTCCTTCGCTCTGTTTCCCGCCTATTCTGTGCTGCGTGTTACAGCAGCAGTCACTTAGAACCTTTCACGTTGACCAAAAGGAGTGCCCTACAAACAAGAAAGATATGCAAACAAGCTAATACGCTGGTTGGTAGGGAGTTGTGAGCTGTTGTCATAGTGTGTGTGTGTGTGTGTGTGTGTGTGTGTGTGTGTGTGTGTGTGTGTGTGTGTGTGTGTGTGTGTGTGTGTGTGTGTGTGTGTGTGTGTGTGTGTGTGTGTGTGTGTGTGTGTGTGTGTGTGTGTGTGTGTGTGTGTGTGTGTGTGTGTGTGTGTGTGTGTGAGGTTTACAAATGGTCCATTATTAGTCCACTTCTGGGTGATGACGCACAGTAGATGTTATTGTTCAGACTAATGGACTAATGTAATTCATATTTTTCCTTTTTCCAAACCAAAATTACATTATGATTCCATTTAATTCTGTTTAATCCTACATTTCGTGTCAGACATTCATGAAACTCTCCTTGTCACACACTTACTGTACATTTAAGTTCTCTGAGCCCCCCCCCTTGTCTCACTATAAGCTGTGGCCAGGGAAGTGATCGATGAGCTAAAGAGCCTCTTAATGGCTCTGACAGAGATGTACGAGAGAAGATAGCTGTGAACAGATGCCGCAGAGGAATTGACAGCAGTTAGCCACAAACTTTGATGTACTAATTTAATCACACAAATCAATTTAATGCATGGAATGGAAATGACAGAATATGATACACAGTGCAATAAAGTACTCTATCTTCTCAATGTGGTCACTCTTTGAAGCAACGCTCAGACAGAATTAACTACTAACGTTCTGACTATTACAACAGCACTTACAGGAGAAGTGTGTCAATCCTAGTTCTGCTTTGATTAAACTTGAAAAAAGCAAATAATGATAAGATGATAAATAATATGTAATGTATAGGCTAACTTGGATAATCAGGTAACTAAGGGTGTTTTCTTGTTAAATATATTCTTTCACGCATTTCCAGCACCCCTCTCCAGGATACTAAGATATTTGGATGGTAGAACATAAGAAAGATACCATTCTTATATGTAAAGTAAATATAAAGCTAAATTACTGCTTGCAGCTTACCTAGCACACAAACTGTAAATGAGAAAACAGCTACCATGGCTCTGACCAAAGCTAACATCTAAAGTTCACTAAATATCATATTATATGTCACTTTTTTTAAGCATACAAAAACATGTGTATCAATCATTTATGGGGGTTTATTAGCGGACTATTTGGATAAATTAGCAATGAATCCCAACAGCCCTTTTGCTTGTCTTTATCTCTGCTGTCTGTGTTACCTCTGTGTTTGTATCTCTGTTGTTTTCGTTGTGTTTCTGACCGTCACCATGAATGATTCAGAGCTCCAAGATGTGCTTAGATGATCTGGTGGATGAGTAAGAAGTTGTGATCAGAAGTGTTGATGAGCTGCAGGATGAGGAGGCAGCAGCCCCGTGGAAGACAACTGAACCAACTGTGAGGTAGAAAAAGAGGGATCTTGATGGCGACCAAATCTATGCAAGGCCAAGATAAAGCAGGAAGCAGTCAAATCAGGGTCAGGAGATATTTTGAAAATCCTAATTCTTCAGACACTAATGAGTGAATCAAATCAATGAATAGTACATGGAAACAATCAAACTTAAACCAATGATACACATTTTTGACATTTACATTTTATTCATAATGATTATAGGTCCTGAATATTCCTCATTAGATTGTGTGAGTTGTTGTGTAGGTAAAGGCAACAAGAACATTTTATTGTTATTCATGTTCAGTTATTTCCGGTACAGCTGGTCCTATTCAGAAGACTGATGCTCCCTTAGATGCTCTGGACACTAACAGTGACGTGGCCTTTGCTGCAGAGACTGCTGTATGTTTTCTGTGTGTCCATTAGCCCAACGCAGTATGTTTATATACTTGTATCTGTACAATCTATCTGACACTGAGTGGGAAATGTATATTCCACGTTTGTACATTAAATAATCATAAACAAAATAATAAACAGAACTGATAAACATATTGAAACCACAGCATCTCCATGCAGTACACTTTGTACTTCACGCAGTGCACTTCCTCCTCTGGGGTTAATTACCCTAGATAGCTGGACAGGGAGCCATTACCCAGAGACAGTCTGGTGCTAGTCAGTGCAAGACTGAAGGAGCGGTGAGGACAATGCAGCATTTCTCAGAAAAGCTTTCAAAGAATATTCATTTCAGCAACCAAATCCAAGAAACACTTTTGCAGATGATGTGACACAGTGTCTGAGACAGAGAAGAGGGCCTGGGTAAACAGGGATATTTTGTATTGTTTCAAGTGTGGTTATATGAGGGAACTGATATGGACTGATCCATAGTCAGTGTATTACCTACTATAGATGATGATCAGCCTGCCCCTAGTTTGGAGAAGACAACAGCAGTTACGGCACAGGAGCAAATCACTGTACGCTTACTGATGTTGGAGAAGGCAGCAGCCTAACATTTATTGGCCACCAACAGAAAACCTAATATCAATTTAAGAATACGCTATATTTAAAATGTATTGACTTCTTTGACTTGCTGTCCAATGTGGATCTGAAACCATTATCTATACTCTCTTCAAAGTCACCAGACTAAAAATTAAATCATAATTTTGCCTTCAACACATGACAGATGCAGGTCTAGTGTTGCCTCGATTGGTTATTTAGTTTGTGTAATGGACTGAATTTGGTTTAGCTACTGCCCCCCTTTATAGCAGAACAATGCTTAGTTTATACTATAGGTAATACACTAACTGTATATTAGAAAGTACCTCACACAACTCAACACTTCAAAATATCCCTTGGTGCAAGGTACAAAAAGAACATTCTGGTTTAGTTGAAAAGCCTTGAAAGAAGCTTATCTTATCACACAATCAAACATCATTTTGAGCATTGTTTGTTTGGGGAGGGGGACAAGAAGTAGGCACACAGAGGTGCTTTCAATGTCCAGCGATAACTCAAGAAATTATTTTAGTTTCATAGACTGGCAGTTTTCCAGGCCCTATCTGTGCTTCCTCCCTGAGTTCCTCTTCAGAGCCAGTATCCAGGCAGGGAGAGCATGTCGTCGTGCGGGTGCCTCCTCCTCTGCTGCTGCCGGCTCCTCCTCACACTCCTGGTCGGTCACAGAGTCCTCCTCGGCTCCTGAATCCTCCTCGGAGTCTGAAGCGTCCGGGCCCGGCTCCGGGGGCTCGATGATCACAACCTCCTCTGAGAAACGAACCCGCCTGTCTTCCTCGACTCGCCTCTGATCAATAGAATAGGGGAAAAGGAAGTATGAACAAAAATGTGTAAAGAAAGAAGTAGTTGGATGACATTTCATATTCACTTTTAAAGTAAAGTTAGTTCTAATAGTGTCAATAAAAAATGTGTAATATAAGAAGATTTACAGCAGTGTTAAGTGGGTACATTGTAAATTAATAAATAAAGAGTTATTGTCTCAATTCAAGTAAGCTACACATTTAAAAAAAAAAATGTCTAAAGGCAAACAGTGAGTGGGTGGGTTTAATTAGGGATAATTCTTTCCTTTTTATTTTACAAAGGTACATTGTTCTTTACAAGAAATGTCTTGGAAAATGATTTTTTTTTAAATCAGAAAGTACTACTGAGCTGTTGCCAACGTAAAAGAACATTTCATCTATAAATACTTGCTGTTTCACAGACAAAGATATGAAAATGTCTATGAAGTGTCCTATATGCGTTGTGTATCAACAAAGCTTTTCCCAAATAAATCTTTAAGATCAACAGTCCATGACCTCTTCAATTTCATCCAGCTTCAACATATGAAAACTCACAGTACCTACACTTCTTACTGTCAAGTAAAAATGTATATATAGTATACTGTTTTCTGAGGTTATAATAAAATAAATCAACATACAGTACAATCACCATGCAAAGGCAATCAAACTACAACTTTGTCTCTTTGTAACTTAACAAAAGAAACAACAACATAATATCCCAAATACTTTTATTTTATTTTATGATTACTGGTGTTTTCCAGCTCTGAGCAGATTCTCAATTTGCTTTGTGCAATGCATTGTGGGAGAACAGCACACTAAAGGCTGTATTTTTAAATCAACACAGTGACTATTTTGAGTGTACTATATTATATCACAGTCCATAATCAAGCCTGCTTAGATGTATCATGTATTCTTCACCACAGGGAGGCAGTGTGATACACAATCACTATTTTCACTTACCCTTTTTGTCAGCGTTTCTGTTGACTGTGAATCCTGGGATATTGAGTGTTTGAGAACACCGCGGGGCACAGGAGCAAAAGGAGTAAACGGAGAGAGAGGTGGAGCAGGAGACTTCATGGTGTGTGAAGGCATCATGTTGTCATCATGTTGGAACTCTCCCGTCTCCTCCATCACGTGGCTGCTTGTGAGGCCTCCCTCTGTGAGATGGTAGACAAGAAGATAATTGAGTTTCCAACTTCTTAAAAACAGAAATTCAGCTACAACTGACAACATCTAACCTCTTTCAACTCAAAAGAGTGAACAGTTGCTCTGACCTTTGCCCGTCTGATTTTCATCATGTCTATTCTCTGTTTGAAACCTCTCATTTCCTATTTCTGTCGACTCGTGCTGTCTCTTTCTGTTGAGGTGGGCTCTGATCTTCTGTGCTGAGTTGTCTGTAATATCTGCAGCCTGCAAATAAAAACACAGGTTGAACGACTAACATGTGAAAGTAAAACTCTTCAAAGTTAAGGAATTTCATTTTCAAGAGAAACAAATTTGCAATCAAATGATTAAAAACAGCTAAATATGCATTATAATGTATATCAAACCTCTAAAAACGCAGCAGGTCGACGGGTTTGTCCATGTTCCATTGGTATTAGTTGATCAGGTGCACTGTGGAACTCCAGTGCTGCAGCCTGTTTTCCTTCTGAAACGTCCATGCTGACTGGGTGGGAAGCGTCAGGTGATATTTGTGCCATGCTGAAATCTAAACCTGGTGATGTCTCAGTTCCCTGGAAGCTCCACGGGCTGTTCACTCCTCCTTGTTGGTTCAAAATCAGAGTCGATTGACCATTATCATGAGAATTTGATAGGATTTTGAGTTCTGTTGGTCTCTGATTGGTCGAGGCTGCTGATTGGTTGGGGTTTAGGAACTTGGCCCACTCTTGACCCGTAACAATTTCGTCCAGCAAGCTAAAGGAGCCCAGGCCAAACTCAAAGTCTCTGTTCGACCTGGAATAAGAGAAGAGATCTGGTAAATTAGATCCTGCACATGCATCTACCTCAGACTCAAAATCAGGAATTACCATCTAATCAATCCCACCAATGTATCAACCAATGACAAGTGTGTAATGTGCAGGTTATGAAATAATCAAACCAAACCACTCTGCCATATAAAATAGTCCCAAACAGATGCTCTATTTAATCCGTTTTAAGTCATGTTTCCTAAAAATCTACAATGTCCAGACAAAATGAATGACTCTTTTAAAATAATAAACTATGTTTTTACCTGTTTTAACAAGTATTATCTTTGCATCCCAAGCCTGACAAAGCTTTTTTCCTCTGTGTCATAAACCCTTATTGTTTAATTGTATAATCTAGCCCCACTGTTGCACTGCCGGACATGTTTCTTCTTTAGAATAAACATTGGGACTGTGCTTTGTTTAGAGTCAATCCAACATACAACATTAAAGCTGCTGTAAATACTCAATAGTGTACAACATGTGTTTTAATCAACAGCTGAAAATAGTCACAAAAAATAAACTATACATCTGTGACTACATTTTAAAGATTTATGTCTTGAGTTGGAATGAAAGGCCTTGGTGCACCATGGAGCAAAACAGACAGGGTAGGAAAAAAGACATATTGAAAGACCGACAACAGCAAGAAAAACACAGAACAACTCCGGTCTCATCATTTATCCACTGTCAAGAACCATCTTTTCAAGGAGATTGAGAAAGTCTGTGTGTATGTAAACATTTATCTGTTTCATGATGTTTCTTTTCGAGGTGTTATGAACATAAGACAAGAGATTTATCGCATCATGAGAGTGATCGAAGTGGCTGATGACAGATGTTATCAGTGACAGAGGTATGTTTGGCACATCACACAATACATATCTGCCCAAACTAATATAACTTCTATGTTTGGAAACGTCTCAGGAATACCTTACATATCTTACTAGTGTCGTAGCAGAGACAAAGAAATAAAACCTGACCTTGAAAACGTTTGCCTGTGTCATGCTGTCTTCAGTACTGGTTGCAGTGTATTTATTCTAGATTCTGAGTACAGTTTGTTGGTAGATTACCTCATATATTCTTCGTCTTCTGTGTGTGTGGGAGGGGGGTTACTTGGATCTCTGCTGTCAAGTGGAAAGAGGGTCCTTTCTTCCTCCTTATTTGAAGGGATGAGATTTACTGCTGTCGGCAGCTGGCTTTGAGGTGAAATCTGTGAAGTAAACAGCTGCAGTTTCACTTTTTAGTTCATAGATTTGAATTTAGAAATAAGAAGATATGAAAATGCTCTACTCACTTCAGTTCCTTCCTCACTATGCAAGTCTACTCTCACTCCTTCTTTTCTCTTTCTGCCAAAACTCCCCGACCGGACCCATTTCTCCTTGATCTTCTGAGTCCATCTCCTCGTTTTATTCTCCGATAATCGCGGGTTCCTTCTCGAGCTGCTGTTGAGCGGCACAATCTGCAAGTCTTTACTTTGTGCCAAATCTCCTAATCCTCCATTTCCTGTATGCAGCACTTCATTCTCTTGACTTTTAACATCTGCATCTGTTGGCTTCGAAGACCAGACATACACTTTGGGTTTAAAACTCTGGTCCTGGTTTTGATTCTGTCCCATGCTGGTGAAAGCATCTTTATTGCAAGGCATTGTCGCTGCAAAACTACCCTCCCACGGCCCGTCAGTCCTCTCAAAGGAAGCGATATCAGCATCCTTAAGTGATCCAGCAGGAAACAGCTGCCCTGTTCCTGTCGGGGTAACCGCAGGCTGACTGTCCTCACCCGTGTCACCATCAATGTTATCTTTTTGGGAGGGTAAGGAAATGAGAGCACTGTCCACTGCACAGCCATGACCTGGACTCTGTATTTCACCTTTGAATCCAAAGTGACTGCCTGCAGCAGAGTTCCCACACTCCTTTGAGGGGATACCATTGGGACTGAACTGAAAGCCATTTCCAGGACTGCTGTTCACTTTCTGGAGGTTGAACGCTCCTCTCTCTCCGTCTGGCCTCCATGATGCAGCAGCTGTGGTGGGTACCGGTGTGTGCAGGTATGCCTGACCCTCTTTTCCCGGCTGGAGCTTCAGTTTCTGCAGCATGGACTGCAGCAGGGCCTGACTGTCTTTGGGATTAGGTGACTGAGACATCTAGAAACAGTACTGCTGTGCATCAAATCCAGAAATCCCCCAAAAGTATCTCAACAATGAGTGCATGTTATCACAACAATATAGTCCACTAAAATAATGGATTCCACAGACTTATGTAATGTGTTCAATAACAGACTGAAGACCATGACATAAGAAGTTAGCTGTGTGTGAATCACGTCACCTCTTGAGATTCCTGTGTTGGTTGTTTCTCTGTTTTTTTATAATCCAATCTTTTTTATAACCTTCTTTCTCAGTCCAAAATTCAAGATAGGTCCATCCCTTACGGTTCAACTTCCTCAGCTAGGTTAGAAATTCATCTTTTTCTCTGCGGCTGCTTATCCTCATGGACGTTTCACTGTCATACTGCATCCACTCCTCCATAATGCAAAAAAAGTTTCAGCAGCAGTCTCTCTTTTTGTGTTATTTTGGCAAAAAGCTGAACCAGACTCAAAACTATTCCTGACTTTCGTCCTCTGGTGTCTTTTAAAAGTCTCTCTCTTTCTCCAAACGTCCGTGGTTTCACTACACAAATGTTTTAGTCACACCTTTTCAGCAACAGCCATATCAACTGGGATGGGAGGAGATACGGAGCAGAGCAGCGTTCCTCACACACTGAAGCAGACAAACGAGAAAGACCAGTGAGGTGAGATAATTACGCATTGACAGTGACTCTCCCTCTCTCTGTCTCTGCCCATCTTTCTGTTTGCCCTTCCTTCCTTCCCATTTCCCTTCCTGGATCTCTAGCTCCACACATGTGCACACTCCCGCTTTCTTCCCACCATGACCCTTGAGTCGTAATTACAGGGCATTTTTAGTGAGCCGCTGCTATTTATGTGTCTTCAGAATGAAAGAAATAAGAAAATGCAAGCTTGACCTTTGGACTTTCCCTTTTGAAACAAACTGTATTGACTTTTCTGTGAACCTAAAATATAAAAAGCAGGCCTGTACTTTCATTGTAGGAACAAAGTATAATAGTTTGAGTGGAATCCCATAACATGATACTCTGAGTTGTGTTGTTTTGTTTTTCCATTAGTACATTTCCCATTTAAATAATTATTGATTATATTACGAAAGAACAGATATGCATAATAATAATATTAATAATATTAATAATAATATTAAAGGATCCTTTTTTAGTTAGGCCTACTTGTACCTGACTAAATCATTTAATGTATTTCTTACTCTTATTATTATACTATATTTACATTTCAGGTGTAAGTAAAATACAAACATTATTGTTAATGTTTGATTTTGTTATAATAATATTATTGTTCTGCAAAGTAACCTCTACAACATATAACTAAATATGTCAGATAAATGTCTGTAATGTAATGTAAAAATGATTTAGTCAGGTACAAGTTGGCCTACCTAAGAACCTACCTACGCCTTACTACTATTATTATTATTATCATTATTATTATTATTATTATTAATAATTCAATTCAATTATTATTATTTATGATCAACTTAGAAGCACATTGCGCATGCGCTAAGTCAACCACGCTCCTTTGAGTTTCAGCCTCTCTGATTGGTCAACCGTCAGGAAGCGGGTAATGGCGGCGTAAACAACCCACAGATCTGTGCAGGATTGTCAAACCGCGGCTGAAAGTAAAAAATAAAGCTACAACTAAACGGAATGTTTTCGGCACTACCAGGATTACTACTCGGTGTGCAAACCAATAAACCCTCGTTTAGTGACTACTTGGTGGTGTTTTGGCTAACTTTTAGCCAACTCTGCTAACTAAACAGAAAAGCCTGATTTGCAGAGATGGACTGCGTCGTGACGGGAGGCAACGTCAAAGGTACCACACAATTTGAACCATAGCTAGAGTATTACTACAGGACGCTAGGTTGTTGTTTATAGTAATATATATGTTGTGTATGTGTGTGTATGTACCGTCCAGTGCTGGCCAAAGCCATCCACTCTCTGTCCAGGATCGGTGATGAGCTCTATGTGGAGCCTCAGGAAGATGGGGTGAGCTGCTCTGATAAACTGTCTTATACAACAACACTTCCTCCTTACATGCAGCTTCCTGTTGGTGCACTGTTTGCGTCGATGACTGGTGATGATTTGTTTTTTTTTCTCTTGTAGCTGGCTCTGCGGTCTGTGAACTCCTCTCGGTCGGCATATGCTTGCTTCCTGTTCGCACCACTCTTCTTCAGCAGGTGCAGAATGTGTGTGTTTGTGTGTGTGAGAGAGTGAACACATTTGTGAGTGTCGTTAAAAGGAGCTTTAAACCTCCCATTTCTTGTGCAGGTATACCATCCCCATTGGGCTCGCCTTCCGCTGCAAGATGGCAATTAAGGTGTGGTGTGAGAAAGAGATGAGCTTACTTTAATTAAATGCTTTTAGTCACCATTTCAGTGATTCCCACACTTCTTTTGTATAACATACACCTCTTAAAAGCCCTTTCAGATGAGCGTAGCTTAGTAATGTTGGCATAGAAAAAAAGCATTCATAATATTAACACAGACATAGTGATCCTGGATGAGTCAATGTTTAGTCCTGGTCTAGGTTTGCCTATGGTTGGGAATCACTGATCCCATTACATGAATCAGATCTGAGCCAGCTCAAAGGTGGAACAAATACCCCCCCCCCTGTCAGTGCTGCTTCAGAATGTTAGAATGTTTCAGATTTACCGTCCCTCTCGCTGCTGCTTTGTTTGTTTCCCATTCACACTGCCAGGTTTTACACCAGATATGTTTGCAGTGCACACATTTAAACATTTAGCCAGGGGACCATGAGGACATATTCACTGATATTGACAAAAGGTGGTTAGAATAAGAATTGCAGACTGTACCTTCTATAAAATTAGAGTCTCCTTTCTGGGCTTGGCTACCAACACTATCTTTCCTGTCATCTTGATAATTAGGTATAGCCTATTTTTTCCTTGAATAAACAGCAGTTGTAATTGTTATAAAATACAATTATGAATATGAGCTTATTTGGGTTAATAGCAGAATATTCCTGTGCATATGAACATAAGCAAGCATCCTGTCCCCTTGTTTATATACGTGTTTCCCCTTCTTATGTTCATCTGTGTGAGTCAGAGTGTGCAGGCCGTATTCAGGTCTATTGCCACGTTGGAGAAGACCGTGGAAAAGTGTCACATTGAGCTGGACGAGCAGAAGAACCGCCTCACCTTCACCCTGCACTGCAAACACGGTATCTGATTCCACTCCTGCTCATACAGTGACTCACATTGTTCTACGTGGACGATTCCAAAGGGATTACATCTGATTTATACTGACACATATTTTACTCAGCATCTCATGCATTCATCACATAGTATTCTACGTGCTTATGTACTTAACGTGTTTGTGTTGGTATTTTCTCTGCAGGCCTCATGAAGACACATAACCTGTCTTTCCAGGACAGTGAAAGCTTACAGGCAGTGTTCGATAAAGACAGCTACTCCAATGTATTCAGATCCCATCCCAGGTCTGTCAAATCTCCTTTTTTTCTTATTAAAAATAACAGACATCACATTTTCATGTTTACGTATGCCTCGAACGCCTTTGTGATGTTTACATTTCCTCTTGTCTTGTTATATATATATATCACAATAAAGTGAACTAATGTTGCTGTCAAAGAAGAACCTGCATTAAGACACATGTTGACTCACCACATTAGAAAACGGTTACATTGACCTAGCCCTACCAATAGCACCTTTCTTTGCCTCCCTTCTTCTTTTTTGTTCCTGATTCACTGCTCACTCTGTCGTCCCTTGCTCTCAGGCTGCTGGTGGACACAGTCGTGCACTTTCCCCCGTCTCTGGAAGAAGTGACCGTGTCAGTGAGTGATGATCGAATGTGGGTCAAAAACCATGTGGAGGACGAAACAGGTGAATACATTTTCACCCAAAGGTTACAAATGTACTTAAATAACTGAATAAAACTCGTCAACTGTGTTTTACAAAGTCACAACACACTGTTTATTTATACTTCTCTTTGTAACCTTACATAGGTACTGTATGTTTGAAGTGATGAGTACGAGTTTCAATTGGTGTTTTCAGTGAATACTACAGTAACAAAAACACTTTAGATGATACAAGAATGATAGAAAATAAACATAACTTGATATTATATACTAACCCACAGCCCCAATCTGTCATTGTGTCTTTTAAGGTTGCTATCAATTATACGAAATAATGCAACAAATATATTTAACCCAGTAGTGCCCTCCTGTGGTAGAAAGGCAGAACAGCAGTATTACAGTGTGTGGTCTTGGCTGTTATGAGCCATTCAACTCTGCAACATTACAGCTTTAGAATATAAGAAACATAGTAATATTACAGAACTATAAAATATGTTTAGTTTTGTAACGTTTCTTGTCCTCAATGAACTCCTGTCTTTCTTTATGTTTCTCTTTTTGCCCGTTTCCCTCCCAGACCGGTCCAAGGCCATGCTGACGGAGCTGTGTCTGGCTTCAGACGAGTTTGACCATTTTTCCGTCAAAGTTCAAAACAGCGTCACCTTTTGTCTAAAGGAGTTACGGGTGAGACAAATGGAGGAGTGATGGAGTAACAGAATAGGAGAATTAGTCAGTGGAAAAGGTTGCAGAGGGCAATTCTTATATTTATTTAGCTGACTCTTCTATCCTAAGCAAACTACAGTTCCTTTAGCTATGTGGATACGCCAGGAATAAAAAATATGATAATTTTTTCTTTTAAAATAAAAACTTATTGCATTGATGTTTTTTAATCAAGATTTTCTAAGTGAGTTTTTTTTCATCTTTCCTCCAGGGTTTGTTAGTGTTTGCAGAGTCGACTGGTCTCCCAATTTCTATGTACTTTGATGAACCTGGCAGGTAAACAAACTTGCACACATATGTTCATTAATCCTTTGTGTAACTCCAATTTACTTACAATTGCTTTTTGTGTGTGTCAGCCCTGTAGTGCTTTCGGTAACAGACAGTGTCCTGGAGGGGAATTTTGTGCTGGCAACGCTTTCTGATGACTCCAACCTACGTAAAAACAACACAAAACGGTAATGCTGAAACTAAATTAGTGCTTAAAAAACAGTGGTGAAAACCTTTTACTAGACTGCAATTTTCAAAGGCAGAACTAATTAAAAATCAAACTGTGTTGCCATTTGGTTCTTACGGCTGGGGAATTTTCAGCATTTACTCTGCAGAGATGCCACAACAACTGTTTCAAGAGATGCCTTACTTTGGTATCAAAGTCAGCTGACTCAAATCTGCAGGTGTTGTAGACAACAAATAGTAGAGTCTAATAAAAGTCTCAATGAATTGCCAAAAAAAGCTATGTTGTCTTCAAAATGTATAATAAGATGAAATCTAACAATAAACAGGTGCCATTAATGTAGCATGTGTAATGCATTTGGACATGAGTGAGAGGAATTGTAACACTTTTTTACCTTGCCATTAATGCAGCACAGTTTAGTAATATATTCATACTCATATGTTTATGTTTCTTATGCTGGTGTTATCTATTGTGTATCTTGTTTTTTATGTATTTGTACGGCAACCTTGAGAGCCTTGAAAGGCGCCTAAATTAAAAAATTGAATTATTATTATTATTGTTATTATAGTTTTGGTCTTGGGTTTACCAGAGATCTGCCCATGAGTTTCTTAACAATAGGTCATTCAGTATGAAAATAAATGACTCATCCTACCAGAAACCTACAATAAATGGTTATCAAATAAGATCACATTTACCAGTTAGTATACAAATAGTCAAAGAGGGAGCAGCCTCTTAGATAGAGATAGAAATCTCGCACTGGGCTGATTGGCATTTTCATGTTTCTTCAACTTGGCAATTTAAAGCCTCTTCTGCAACATACATTTCTCTTCCTGGGTAAGAGGGACATAACTTGTAGAACCCCCATTTTCTTATATACAAGATAAAAACATTAGATTTTCTGCCTAATATCATGTCTAAAGAAGCAATTGGATAAAAAGTGAAACCTTAATCTTCACAATACAGTAACAAGATCATAAGATATACTCTCTTCAGTCATGACTACTATGACCTTACATCTCAGTGTGCTGTCTGTCAGTGTCACTGAATGTCAGAATGAATCCAGGGAGAGGCGTAGCTCTCACTTCCTCATTCATGGCATATTTCCCTCCATTGTGTCTCCTCAGAGCGTGCACACCTCCACCGCCTCCTGATGACTTCATGAATGACGACATGGACTCCTACCTCATCGCCATGGATACCAGTGTAATGCCAGGTCCCTCAGCTTCAAGTCCACCCTCACCCCCGTTAACTAATTCCACAAGTTTAAAACAGACTGCCGCAGCCAATCACAGGACAAGGCTTCCCAGTGAGGAAGAGGAGGAGGAAGAGGAAGAAGAAGCAGTCGATTCAAGCGGACCCCCAAACAAGAAGGTATAGTTTGGTTTTCAAATGAATACATTAACTATTAGGCTCACAATCAAATGACTGGTAGATAAATGTATAAGCAGGGTCCTTACAAAGTCATGAAGAGTTTGGAAAGTGCTTGATTTAAAATATTTGTTTTAAGCTTAAGAATATGAGTTTCAAATATATTCCTTAAAAATACTTGCTCTTCAACATTATGTGATGTTTTATCTGGACAATCCCTCATGAAAAGCAAAATCTTCAAGTCTTTGACATGAAACGATCCCATCGTCATACTTTATGATATCATGATCAAAACAGTGGTTGAAATAAACAGTGTCCAAATACATTGATTGCTGTGGATACAAAGGAATTCTGTCAACCTTTTTTGATTTCTTTGTAACATAAATTACATTTATTGGAACAATTTGTATCCTAACGTCTTTCTTTACTAAGATAATTTGGAAATACATGTTTTAAGCTACTTTGAAATTGCTTAAATGTTACTCCTAGAAGCTGTTTAAAGCCTGTTTACTGTCAGAAGCTCACATTTTACAGTTCACTTAGAAATAATATTCATCACTTTCTTTCCTCTCGTAGTTCTGTTCCTTGTTCTTCGGCTCGGTGCTTTCCCCCTCCTCTCAGATGACCACTCAG